GGGGGAGAGATGTACTGAGGGAGCTGTACTGAGGAGGCATAGCTGTATTCAGGGGGGGGGGGTTGTACTGAGTAGGCAGAGCTGTACCTGGGGGGAGAGAGCTGTACTGGGGGAAAGCTGTACTGGGGAGGCAGAGCTGTACCTGGGGGAGAGAGCTGTACTGGAGGAAAGCTGTACTGGGGAGGCAGAGCTGTACCTAGGGGGCTGTACTGGGGGGGGGACTGTACATAAGGGGCAGAACTATACTGGGGAGGGGGAGCTGTACTGAGGAGACAGAGCTGTAATGTGGGAGGGAGCTTTACTGAGGGGTCAAAGCTGTGCTGGGGGAGGGGGAATCAGTTCTGAGGGTACAGAGCTGTGCTAGGGACAGGGAGAGCTGTACTGAGGGGCAGAGCTGTAATGGGGGGAGCTGTACTGAGGGAGCAGAGCTTTGCTAGGGAGGAGCTGTGTTGAATTTTTGGTATATATCCTAGGCTTGTAATGCTCTGAGTTTTTCTAGTGAGTTGAGCCCATTAGAAAAGTGAGGGGCTGGTACTGTTCTGATTCTTGTGTCTCTCAACTGCTGTAGAGCTGTATGCTCTTGTTTTTTTGTCATTGAATGTCTTAGTTGGACGGATACTTATTGTTCAGTGTTTGTTTCACTGCTTACAAAGTGGCAACGTATCTTTTCTAAATTTGTACAACTGTATCCATCCCATTAAAAAACTGTTTTGAGATGTAAAAATCGTTACTGACACATATCAAAGTAACTGATGCAGCAGGACTTGGGCTGGCTCAGACTCTGAGCACTATTACATGGAGGGAAAGTGGGGAGAAGCAAGGTTTTCTTTGTTTCTATTATAACATTATAACATTTTTCTCCTTCACTGATGTGCATTGATGAGACTGCACTGATAGGCAGCACTGTTGGGCACTGATAGGCTGCACTGATGAGGCAGCACTGGTGGGTATTCATGAGGAGGCACTGATGATGATGCACTGCTATGCGGCACTGATGGACACTGATAGTTGGCAATGATGGGCACTGAAGAGCACTGACTGGTGACACTGACAGGCACAGATTTGCATCACTGCTGGGCAGCACTGTTGGGATCTACTGGGCAGCACTGTTGGGCACTGAAGTGCAGCACTGCTAGGCACTGATGGGCAGCGCTACTGGGCACTGATGGGCAGCACTGCTGGGCACTTTTGGGGCTGCACTGATAATCAGTGCCCTAATTATCAGTGCAGATGTCTGCTTTGAAAGTTGCCGGCTACCGACATTACATTCCTCATGCTGTGACATGGCAAGGAAAGTACTGCCGATAACCGGCAAATGTATTTACATAGAGGTCAACTGTGATTGGGCACAGCTGATCAAACTACAAAGAACACAGCAATCACAGACAGCGCTGGGTACACGCTGCTGGTGGGCGTGTGGGGGGCACATTCTGGGAGGACGTCATATGACGCCATCCCAGAATTGGACTACAGCACTGTAGCTGTCATTTGGCTATACCACGTTAGCAAAGTGGTTAAAAAAACAAAAAAAAAAGGTCCATCTAGTTCATCTAATGTATGGTTCTTATAACATAGCAGGCACTTTATAGTGCCCATAATTTTCTTAATAGATTTTACAGGTTTTATTTAATCCTCATCCATCACAAGAAGTGATGATACAGATTAGAATTGTTTTTAGTCTCTTAATCTTTTTTTCCAGATCACTGAGTGTTAAAGTAATCTAATTTGTACTTTCTGAAGTAAGTTGATCACATGATGGTATATTAAATGCTCGACTGAATAAAAACAGCTTAAACAGAATATGCCTACCTAAATAATTCCACCCTAAGAAAAAAAAACTATTTAGCTGTAAGACCATTGGCCATCTGACAAGTGTTGTGCATCATTTCGTTGTTCACAATAATGAGCACTAGATGGCAAAGTTTCTTAAAAATCCCAAGTGTGTACATGCAGATTCACTGCTAGCATTCCAGCATGTGTGGCCTCGCCAAGTTCCAGCTGCTATACAAATTGTTATATAAAGAAACACTGTATTGTGAAACTTTTGAAATCTATGTGGGCAGAAATGTCCCATTCTGCTTTGAAAGTAGCTCATGCAGCTTTTTGAGCTTCAAGCAACAGGTGTCTGAACGTTCATATGGCAAATAGGCACAATTTAAAGGCGTGGGATTTTGGTTGTTGAAATTCAGACTACAAAATGTTCAGGTATAACCCTAGGTTCACATCTGTGCGGGTGGTGCCACTGCGGATCCACATGAAAATCCGTGCAGCCGCACAACCCGCACAGAGAAATGCGGACCCGCGGGCGGGTGCCATTAGTTCTAATGGCACGCCGCTCGCACTGGAAAATGCAACCGTAACTGGGAACCGAGGTTCCTGTGTGAGCTGCGTTTTCAAAAGAAGTGCATGGACTTCTTCCCTGCATGTCACGGGCACGGGAGTCCATTCAAATGAATGGGCTCTTGTGCCCGTGCAAAACGCAGCCAGCACTGCCACATATATGTGAACTGGGGGTAAATCATGGCTTAGGCTCCATCCACACCAGTGTGTGTTATGTGCAGTGCATTAACCCTAGGTTCACACCTAAGGGTTTTCCACAGCATTTTGCAGAAATGCACTACAATCCATTTAACATGATTTCCTAAGGGACACATTCACATCTCTGCGTTTTCACCCGATGCATTTTTTTGAAAGGGTCAGGAACTTTTTTGAACGCAAAACGTTACTTTTTTGCTTCTTTAGATTTCAATGGAAATGCTGCAGAAAAGCATGTTGTGCGTTTGTTAAATTTTTTATGCATTTTACATTTTAAATCCGCCTAGCAACAAGAAAAAAAATGCAAAATGCATCAAAAAAGCAGGTGCAAAAAAAACAAAATGCAACGCAAAACGCAATGCAGAAACAAGTCAAATGCAAACTGCATAGGTGTGAACTTAGCCTAAAAGAGTTCGACATGCTACATCTTTGATGCGCTTTCACCAAGCACACGTACTATAGAGTTCAGTAATAGGATGCCTAAAATACATGTAAAGCGTGCATAAAATGTAGTGCACCAAAAACGCACTGCATAGTTGTGAATTGGCCCTTATAAAGGGGGCCTGTGATATATTGTGTTTCAACATTTTGCAAGTTTGTGTTACTGTACACAGTTCTTGGTAGTCATCTTATTTTTCTTACATGTTAAACTAGGGTTGCCACCTCATCCTTTTAATACCAAACATATTAATTACACAGGTTCTGAGGATAATTTAATGCAGATAAGGCACTAGATGAGTGTAATTATTACCTTAATCCTCCTCAGAACCTGTGTAATTAATATGTGTTCGGGTTGAAAGGGAAGAGGTGGCAACCCCACATTAAACTCTAAAGAACAACATGTCTTTTTCAGGAAGATCATAAGGAAGGGGCAGCAGTAGGCATGAGGGTGGTAGAGGACGGGGGGGGGTTAGGTGGAATTATCTTCTCAATCAGCTACAGCACAACTACATCCAGCTACATATTTAACCAGACAGGGAGCGATACTGTTAGATTTTAACCACTTGCCCTCCTGAGGATTTACCCCCCTTCTTGACCAGGCCATTTTTTGCGTTACGGTGCTGCGTTACTTTAACTGACAATTGTGCGGTCAAGCAACACTGCACCCAAATGAAATTTCTGCCCTTTTCCCCCCACAAATAGAACTTTCTTTTGGTGGTATTTGATCGCCTGTGTGTTTTTTTATTTTTGTGCTATGAAAAAAAGACCGACAATTTGGAGAAAAAAAAGAATATTTTGACTTTTTGCTATTAAACACGACCAGTAAAAACATTTAAAAAAGTGTGCAGGAGCTAACAAGGGAGAGAACTGTTTTGTTTACAAACAGTTTTTCACCCCGTTGGAGATGCTCGACAATCACTGGGCGCCGGCGATTATTCCCCGGCTGGGACCCGGTGATTGACAGCCGCAGCCGCAAATGGCGAGCGCATACTCCTTACCCTGAAATGCAAAATGATGTATATATACGTGAGTTTGCGCACCTGGGCCGCCTTGTAGCAGTACATCTGCTATAGGGCCATCGGGAAGCAGTTAAAGAGTTTTCTAACATTGATCTCTTGCCTCCTCACTGCCTGCTTTAACCCTCAAAATGCCAAACCACCGTGCAACAATTGCATGCATTGCTCACGCTTGCAGGGCAGTTGGGGCGTGGCCCCATTCCCTTGAATGTGTTGTGTTTGGTGGCAATACCACCTGTCATATGCGACAACCTGTTCTACTTTTTCCACAGCTGCTAAGCAAAGTATTGTGGCATATGGGGGCATGGGTACAGCTGCATTGCTTTGATTAGGTGGAGGGAAAGGATGCAGTAAAACCATGGCTCAACCACCTGTTTTTATTGCTCCCCCAGCTGCCTGTGTGAACAAGCCCTATTTGAAAGTTTCTAGAGGCCAGAATCAAATACTGTATGTTACAGTATGAGAAAGAAAGATTCATCTTCTTACAGATGTTAAGATTTAGATGATTTAAGCTTTACTAAAAATAATTTGGTGTTGTACTGGTAACTGAGGCCTAGTTGAATTCTCAGGTTTTATTACTGTAATGCAGTCAGGCTGCATATATAGTAATAAATATTTACTTTTTTTACTTTTAGTAAACTACTAAATGCTGCAGAAAGGGATAAAAGACCCTTTGCTGGCAGCTCGTAGGAGAGTCAGACCATGGTTGTCTCACACATAGCAGCGGCCTGACTCTCCAGGGTTGCCACCTCACCACTATAAAACCGAACACATATTAATTACACAGGTTCTGTGGCTGATTAAAGTGGTAATTAAACTCACTCAGTTCCTTGTCTGCATTAAATTATCCTCAGAACCTGTGTAATTAATATGTGTTCGGTTTTAAACAGATGAGGTGGCAACCCTACTCTCCAGCAGTCCAGCATGCCCACTGAACTCTCCTGTCTTAATAATAATTATATTTCGGCATGCATAAAAAGTGAAAACTGAGCTTAAATGAGTCCACCTCTACCAGAAAATAAGAATCATGCTGAAACACACTCTAATACCTCTAACTTCCAATCTGCAGTCTACTTGAGCTTCTCCCAGATCATTAATGGCCTTGCAGGTGTAGGTTCCCCCATCAAATGGGCTTGGTTTGCGGATGTTCAGTGTCAGAACTCCTTGATTATGTTTCATTAGGAATTTAGGATCATCTCTAATTTCCATTTTATTTTTCATCCAGATCACTCTAGGCTGTAAAATAAGAACAGAAAACACATGTGATACTATAATGGAGAACAGTTGCTTTAATTTGCACATGTAGAAAACCCACAATTATGTAAGGTCAAATGATAGAAAAAAACATGCACTCTATTTTTTTATTCCACAACTCCTTTTATAATCATGACTTGGATTAATGAACACAACTGTAAGCATTGGGAAATGCTTAAAATTTGTCAGTCTTCTTGAATTCGGCTGATATGAGCTTTAAAACAAATAGGGTGTTTTACTTTGCAAAGAATACCCAATCATTTGTAAGAACAATAAAAAACAGCATTTTTGCCTGCTCATGTTTGAATGATGGACATCTGTAGAGTTTCACCTCAATCACTAAGCCCTGGGAGCCTGGTATTCTGTTCATACTTTCTTAAAGTTTTTACCAGGCAGATCTCCAGGCCTCTTTTGATACGTTGCCCTTTGATGTGCTCCTTGCTGCAAAAGCCAGTAATAGGTTGGGGCAGTTGCCATTTGTTTGTACTGTTGATATATTGGTGAGGGGGCGCACTAGAGACCTTTGCTGCCATTGTGCTATATGCTGGGTATCCAGTGCACCCCTGTGCCTTTAAGGAGGGATGGGCTCCCTCCAGGCTTACCTGCTCTCAATCTATCCATTATTATACATGTGCTTCTACTATGGAGGCTCTCAAAATTTATAAAGTTAGGAACTGCAGATATTGGGGTGCTGTGAATTGGCTCTGCAGCTTAGGCATTTGCAAATGTGCAAACTAAACCCCTGTTTTTAACGTGAACGTGGACAGGATATTTCAGTTGATTGCAGGCTTGATAGTAAGTTTAGCTGGGAATGTTTCTTTGTTGTTTTTTGACATGTGTCACCCTTCCATGTGCTCCATGCTGCAAAGGCCAGTTATAGGTTGGGACAGTTGACATTTGTACTCTTCTGCTTCGGCTGAAAGTTTTGGGTCCATTGATCCCTGCGGGCCTGTTTGCCATTGTTGTCCACCTTTCAGTTTATTGCTTGGGAACATCCCATGGTCTATGTCTATATGTTCAGTGTCCTGTATTGTACAATTAGGATAATGGGTATTTTGATTTATCTGTAAATTCCCTATCTTGGAATACAATACAGGACACACATCCCTCCCCTCTGTTCTCTGTTTCTCCTAACTGCTTGCTACAAAACTGGAGTCCCACAGAGTGGATGGGATTATATGAGGGTGCATCGGGGGGCATACCCAGCAAAGCTTTTGCAGGTATTCAATCATCTGAATGTAGCAACATATAACTCATGTTCTATGACTAGACATAAACAGAGAAAGAAGTTTTGATGGGATTTTAGAGGCATTCCAAATCACATTCAGAATTAGGAGTGCTTTGAACATTTCTTTCTCTGTAATGATTTAACTATTGGGAATGCTGGCATTCAATGGGTGGGTAAAAATGTTTGGTGTGTATATCATGGTCTTTGACTCAGGGGCGTCCTTAGGCAGGTGCGAGGGGTGCATGCTGCACCGGGCGACACCTTTTGCACGGGGTGACTCCGGACCCGCTCCACCAGGGGCGGACTGACCGAGGGCCCGGGGTCACTACAGGGCCCCATGAGAGGCTCAGTCCATCCCTGTATGTGCCGCTGCTGAAATAAGCAAGCATTGAGGGGACGGACAGTGAGGCAAGCACTTCGGACACCTCTCCTCCTTGGAGTTTCAGCAGAGGGGCAGGTCCACATCCCTGCCACGGGTGCTGAAGTCGAAGAGCTGGAGGGTCGGGCAGAGTATGCAGCAGGTCAGTGTGTAATCCCCAGACCCTGGTGACAGCACTGCAGCTTCATGTAGTAGGTAGGTGGGAGAAAGAAAGGGGAGAGAGAGACGGGGGAGAAAGAAAGGGGAGAGAGAGATGGGGGAGAAAGAAAGGGGAGAGAGAGAGGGGGGAGAAAGAAAGGGGAGAGAGAGAGGGGGGAGAAAGAGGGCAGAGAGAGAGGGGGGAGAAAGAGGGAAGAGAGAGAGAGGGGGGAGAAAGAGGGAAGAGAGAGAGGGGGGAGAAAGAGGGCAGAGAGAGAGGGGGTGGAGAAAGAGGGCAGAGAGAGAGGAAGGGGAGAAAGAGGGAAGAGAGAGAGGGGGGAGAAAGAGGGCAGAGAGAGAGGGGGAAGAGGGGGAGAAAGAGGGCAGAGAGAGAGGGGGGGGAGAAAGAGGGCAGAGAGAGAGAGGGGGTGGAGAAAGAGGGCAGAGAGAGAGGGGGTGGAGAAAGAGGGCAGAGAGAGAGGGGGTGGAGAAAGAGGGCAGAGAGAAAGGGGGTGGAGAAAGAGGGCAGAGAGAGAGGAAGGGGAGAAAGAGGGCAGAGAGAGAGGAAGGGGAGAAAGAGGGCAGAGAGAGAGGGGGGAGAAAGAGGGAAGAGAGAGAGGGTGGAGAAAGAGGGCAGAGAGAGAGGAAGGGGAGAAAGAGGGCAGAGAGAGGGGGGGGGAGAAAGAGGGCAGAGAGAGAGGGGGGAGAAAGAAGGCAGAGGGGGGGGAGAGAAAGAGGTCAGAGAGAGGGGGGGAAGAAAGAGGGCAGAGAGAGAGGAAGGGATACAGAGGGCAGAGAGAGAGAGGGGGGAGAAAGAAGGCAGAGAGGGGGGGGGGAGAAAGAGGGCAGAGAGAGAGGGGGGGGGGGGAGAAAGAGGGCAGAGAGAGAGGGGGGGGGAGAAAGAGGGCAAGAGAGAGGAGGGGGGGAAAGAGGGCAGAGAGGGGGGGGGGAGAAAGAGGGCAGAGAGAGAGAAAGAGAGAAGGGGGGAGAAAGAGGGCAGAGAGAGAGGGGGGGATAAAGAGGGCAGAGAGAGAGGGGGTGTCACCAAGTGACACCAACCCTAGGGATGCCCTTGCTTTGACTACACATCCTGTATCCTGTACTGTACTTCAAGATATGGAATTTACAGCTGTAGCGCTATCCCGGAGGAGCCGCTGGCAATATGCCTGGGTTCCTTTTCCCGGTAGTTGCTCTCTTGCCTCAAGAAACAGTCTAGGGTTGTTGGTTTTGTAGTTTTAATAAAGTCAAGATGAAGAAACAGTGCAGCGCTAGAATATTATATATGAATTAAAATAAAATATGTAATATAATCAATAATAATCAAATCATCCAGATTATATTGTGATAAATAATATAAGTGAATAAAGCGCTAATTTAGGCACCAAACATAAATGTGATCATGTGAACAGTCTTTTATCAAGAGAAGTGTTCATAGATTAGTGCAGGCTTGACGCGATCAGGTCAACATAACAGTGCTCCATAAAGTTACATTGCACTTGTGACATCCAATAAATCCATGTGACTTATTCCATGTGGAAGACTGTAAGAATTGCGCGCTCACCAGATGCGCATGATTAATGCGCAATAAGCTGAATATGAATCGGTAGGAAACCCCTTTAAAATGGATCTGCCAGACAGCATGGAACCAGGATCCCTCCTCTGGACACAAGTCTCCTCTGCAGCCACGCTTCCACTAGGGTCCTAGGAATCCTTAGCTCAAGTCAGAGTCAATAACAAAAAATCCTCATAGTGTTATTTATTGTATAAAAATTAAAGGCTAGATGATCATCCAGGTAAATGTAAAAATCTGTGCTTAAAAAAGCTTAATAGTGGCTTTCAAAGACAATGTGGTTGAACAGCCACTCACTAAGATAGCCACTGGACCTTTGGGCGGCTCCAATGGTGTGACGTCATGGCGTGTGGCTCCTCCTTGACATGTTTCATACGCACGCACGCACATCCTCAAAAGGGGTGTGCCTACTCCTTTTGTGAGGTCACAGGAGAAGATTGTCTATGTGGACCAGCATATCAACAATAAGGCAATATGAGGTGCACAGTCAACATAGTCTGCTATAGTTCCTGGCTCTGTTTATTCTTTTGTGTACTGGGTGTTCTCACTTTTCCTTTTGTATGCCACACCATATGGAAATTCAATGGTTGTGGCAACTGTGCAGACCTAGGAACTTGGAGGTTGTCTCAAGTTCCAACTATTAGGTGGTTTAACTGCAGTTACCAAAATCAAATGTATCAGTTTTGGGTAGGTTGGCCCTTAAAACAGAACTCTAGACAAAACCTTTTTTCATGTCCTTGTTACTGATTTCCTTCCTTCACTAAATATGTCATCCATCCTCTAGCTCAGTGGTGGGCAACCTTTTTTTTCAACTGAGCCAAATCTCGCCAAAACCATGATTGAAATTTATTTTTGAGAGCCACATTTTTAAAACTGAAAATACATCTCCCATATAGTAATTCATCCCCCATAGTAATTCATCCCCCATATAGTAATTCACCCCCCATAGTGTAATTCATCCCCCATAGTAATTCATCTCCCATATAGTAATTCATCCCCCATCGTAATTCATCCCCCATAGTAATTCATCCCCCATATAGTAATTCATCCTCCATATAGTAATTCATCCCCCATAGTAATTCATCCCCCATATAGTAATTCATCCCCCATAGTAATTCATCACCCATATAGTAATTCATCCCCCATAGCAATTCATCCCTCGTATAGTATTTCATCCCCCGTATAGTATTTCATCCCTCGTATAGTATTTCATCCCTCATATAGTATTTCATCCCTCATATAGTATTTCATCCCCCATATAGTAATTCATCCCTCATATAGTATTTCATCCCTCATATAGTATTTCATCCCTCATATAGTATTTCATCCCCCCATATAGTATTTCATCCCCCATATAGTATTTCATCCCTCATATAGTAATTCATCCCTCATATAGTATTTCATCCCTCATATAGTAATTCATCCCTCATATAGTATTTCATCCCTCATATAGTAATTCATCCCTCATATAGTATTTCATCCCCCCATATAGTATTTCATCCCCCCATATAGTATTTCATCCCCCATATAGTAATTCATCCCTCATAAAGTAATTCATCCCTCATAAAGTAATTCATCCCTCATATAGTATTTCATCCCCCCATATAGTATTTCATCCCTCATATAGTAATTCATCCCTCATATAGTATTTCATCCCTCATATAGTATTTCATCCCCCCATATAGTAATTCATCCCTCATAAAGTAATTCATCCCTCATATAGTATTTCATCCCCCACAGTACTATCCCCCCCCCCCCCCTTCTAGTAAGCCAAGTCCCCCGTGTCAATTCACTTACCTTTTGCGTTCCTCTCGCTGTCTTCCCGCGCCGTTCGGGTCTTCAGGGCGGACTGTGAGAGGAGCCTAGCTCCCCTCCCCTCACGTTCGGCACGCTGCCCCGCCTACACACATCCTGACAGCCACATCCGCGGGCCGGATTAAAAGATCCGCGCGGACGTTTGGGGCTGCCAACCGAGAGGAGGCAGGGGAGCGGCCGACCGAGAGGAGGGAGGGGAGCGGGCCGACCGAGAGGAGGGGAGGGGAGCAGGCGCCCGGCACACAGAAGAGCCGCATTAGAGTGGGTAAAGAGCCGCATGTGGCTCGCGAGCCGCGGCTTGCCGACCACTGCTCTAGCTCAATCAGTAGTTACTCTGATATACACTATTCATTTTTAAATCAAACCATTAATTTTCTTTTGGTTTTCTGTTTGTAAGACCAGTGGCTGCTATGCCTCCTATGCCCCCAGCCACTGGTCTTGGCACATCTCTTCTGTAGTTCTTTCTCCAGGAAACAGTGATGTAATTCAGCCCCACTTGCAGTGGTGGGTGGACCAAGATTCTAAGACACATTTGACATGTACAGGCTTAGTGTACCCGCCCACATTCATTACAATTCTCTGTGGTTGATGGGAACTGTAGTTTCCTTTTACTGCAGAGAGAGAGGAGAGGAGATTATGGAATTCCGGCTGGTACACCTCCTCCTTGATAGATCAGATGCTGTTATCTTTTGACTTACAGAGATGAGGTCATGGAAATTCAGTTAGACTTTTCTTCTAAATGGTAAAGATTTTCAAAATATTGGTTAGTGTTTTGTGTAGGGGGGTACTAATAGATGATTTGTTTGCCTATCCCGGAGTTCTCCATTAAAATAAACCTGTGGGTAAATCAACTAAGAGCTATGGTCTTTCATTAGAGACAATAGCATACCTTTGGATGACCTCTAACTGCACAATTCAGTGCTGTACTGTATCCAGCCACTACGCAGCGGTCTATAAGAGGTGTAAGGAACTTCGGAGCCATGCTGACATCTTGTTCTTTATAGTCTGTTGGCTTATAGATCAGGCCTGGGGAAAAGCAAGACATCACCTTAATAACTAAAAAATGCCATTTTTAACAAAATATACCGTAATACACAGAAAAAAGGGTCACTGTATTGTTAGCATGTTTTTCTTTGTACATACAGTCCTTATAAAAAAACAAAAATATTTTGTATTTATTTATAAAAAGAGAAACAATTCTGAAACACTTTCCTTTAGAGTACATTTACCCTGGTCCCTCTCCCCATCTCCTAAAAGGAGCTTTAAAAATCTAATGTTGGTACTATATTCAAAGCAGGCCCGGACTGGGACAAAAAATCGGCCCAGGCATTTTAGACTGACCAGGCCATTTTATTTATATTTTTAACCAAATTACAAATGATGACAACTACAGGTTTTTCAATGTCTTTTAGTTATTTATATATACACTCACCAGCCACTTTATTAGGTACACCTTGCTAGTACCAGGTTGGACACCCTTTTGACTTCAGAACTGCCTTAAAGTGTTACTAAACCCAGGACCCTGCATTCACTATATCTGGTCTCACTCAGAACACAGAACATGGAAATGCAATTATTTTAGTAAATATAAATTGCTAAATACATTTTCTCATCAGCAGTTAGAGCAGTCTTGTGACTTCTATCAGTGTTCAGCAGAGCACTGGTTAAAGCTTGTAGGAGGAGTTTTCTTTCTGCACTAGGAGGATGCAGAACCTCTGACCTCTGTCTGGACAGAGCTGATTGGCCCTGTGCTGATAACATGCACTCTCCCAAGAAAAGAAAAAAAAGCTATCTAGCAATACACACAAAACTGAGCATGTGCAGAGTATCTCTACACCATTTGTCTTATCAGGAAATAAGAGGGGGGCACTGGAAGAAGGGGAAGATCAGAGAAGTCAGGATCAAACAGCATTTTTATACAATGCAGAGGATTACCCTCCATAGGCTCCACAGGTATAACAAGCATGCTTTACTGCATATACAGAATGATTTTACTGTTGTGGGTTTAGTAACACTTTAATTCTTTGTGGCATAGATTCAGCAAAGTGTTGGAAACATTCCTCAGGGAGTTTGATCCATTTTGACATGATCACATCACGCAGTTGCTGCAGATTTCTCGGCTGCACATCCATGATGCGAATCTCCCATTCTACCACATCCCAAATGTACTCTATTGGATTGAGATCTGGTGACTGTGGAGGCCTTGGGAGTACAGTGAACTCATTGTCATGTTCAGGAAACCAGTTTGAGATGTTTTGAGCTTTGTGACATGGTGCATTATCCTGCTGGAAGTAGCCATCAGAAGATGGGTACACTGAGGTCATAAAAGGATGGACATGGTCAGCAATAATACTCAGGTAGGCCGTGGCATTTAAACGGTGCTCAATTGGTAATCAGGGGCCCAAAGTGTGCCAAGAACCACCAGCCTGAACTATTGATACAACACAGGATGGCGCTATGCTTCCATGTTGTTTACGCCAAATTCTGACCCTATCATCTGAATGTCGCAGCTGAAATCGAGACTCATCAGACCAGGCAATGTTTTTTCCAGTCTTCTATTGTCCAATTTTGGTGAGCCTGTACAATTTGTAGCTTCTGTTTCCTGTTCTGAGCTGACAGGAGTGGCACCCGGTGTGGTCTTCTGCTGCTGTAGCCCATCTGCTTCAAGGTTTGACATGTGATGTGTTCAGAGATGGTATTCTGCATACCTTGGTTGTAACGAGTGGTTATTTGAGTTACTGTTGCCTTTCTATCATCTCGAACCAGTCTGCCCATTCTCCTCTGACCTCTGACATCAGCAAGGCACTTTCCTCCACACAACTGCCACTCACTGGATATTTACTCTTTTTCGGACCATTCTCTATAAACCCTAGAAATGGTTGTGCGTGCAAATCCAGCAGATCAGCAGTTTTTTAAATACTCAGACTAGCCCGTCTGGCACCAATAACCATGCTATGTTCAAAGTCACTTAAATACCCTTTCTTTCCCCTCCCTGATGCTCGGTTTGAACTTCAAGTTGTCTTCACCAGGTTTAGATGCCTAAATATATTGAATTGCTGGCCATGTAGTTGGCTGATTAGCAATTTGTGTTACCAAGCAAGTAAACAGTTGTACCTAATAAAGTGTCCAGTGAGTGTAGACTCTTCTGCTCCATAAATGCATGCTCTGCACCCTAAACATTCTCCTGCACCTTCATCCTTGCCACTCTCCTCTCTGAATCATTCCCCGTCCCTTCTATCCATCAACATTTTCCTCTTTGGTCGCTATCATTCTTTTCTGTCAATGCCTTCTTTACCTCTCTATGATCGTTCTCATCCACATCCCTCCATACACAGCTCTCAGACTCTGTATACTCTGCTGGACTCATAGTAACCATATATATATGATTACCTGATTCATGGACTCTATATATAACCAAAGTCATAGTAACCACATATTGTATATAATCCTGGACAGTTCCTATAACCCTGTGTCACAATAACCCCTATATATCACCCAGACTCATAATAACCCTATTTATATAATCACCCAAAGTCATAGTAACCACATATTGTATATAATCACCTGGACTCACAGTAATCCTATATGTACCCTGTGTCACAATAACCCCATATATATCACCCAGACTCATAATAACCCTATATATAATCACCCAAAGTCATAGTAACCACATATTGTATATAATCACCTGGACTCACAGTAATCCTATATATTCACCCTGTGTCACAATAACCCCATATATATCACCCAGACTCATAATAACCCTATATATAATCACCTGGAGTTACAGATAACCATATATATAATCACCCGGACTCATAGTAACCTCACATATATTACCAACACTCATAATGACCATATAATCACCTGGATTCATGATAACCCCAATATCACCTAGACTCGGACATATGACCAGAAACGCCAATCATCTGTGTATAGTACATGGTATGGTAGCTGTACACGATTGTATCACCCAGATACATTACATAGAGACTCTGCCATACATACAAGGTAATTAGTATGGAGGACGTCCCTCCAATCATTTCTTATATTACAAGACTCAGATGACATTAGAGACAATTAAATGAATTATTAAACCCCAGAAAAGGCCAATCGAAGGCTCCAGCAATGGCTGCACATGCCAAGCAGCTCAGATGCATGTCACTCCCGACCCTGGGACATGCAGCCCGGCGGCCTCAGCTGCATGCCCAATGGATTTTGTGGCCAGTCCCGGTCTGACTCAAAGATATATATTTTGGACTTTGGAAGTATATATGCAAATATATACTGAAAGGCAAGAAATACACTTAGTAAAGAACTGAACACAAGACTCCAGCTTTGCAAAACAAGAGTACCAACAGCTGGTTGTACTTCCCGTATGACTGCTTTGCCTTTAACATTGCGGACCCATTTTATCTGAGGTTACTGTTATACCAGATTTCTGAAAGATCATCTAATCTTGCATACTTTTCAAAGGCCTTTGTACATGCACTGGATGCCATTTTTACTTAAAATTTCAAATGTGGCTGATGAGAATTCCATGTAAAGGAGTATTATAATTAAAACACAACACATAATTTGCCAATGTTTGCTTGTTGTTTGAATAGGATAAATGTGTGACACTTTTCTGTGTGTATGTACATTAGGTGGTAAATGTTTGGATGGTTTGTAAATTATTGCAGCTTGGGATCTTGGACATAGATTAACTAATCTTGAATTTTTTATACAAATATACACTATTTAACTTTTTTATGTTTTGGGTGTGAGGTGCATCACTCAGAGATTCTTCTTTACAGATGTTTTAACTGACAAGATCCTCTTGATAAGACTTTGATCACGGAATTACCTTCAGTTCATGGTAATACTTAAATACGAATGGGGATACACAATAGGATATTTCCTCTAGAATGATGTGTGATACGTACCAATCTATGAGCAAGTTTTACTGTCATTGGTCCTGCACTGCACGTGAAAAGCAGTGATAATGGTACACATGAGGCAAAATTTACAAAGCTAATACATCATGATATTAAAAGTCTTTAACCAGCGCTCAAGTGTCCCCAACAGCTGCTAGACTGCACAATAATGCCCCTACTGAATTTCAGTATGTAAATTCAAAAAGTCCAGTGCTTAAATATATGCAGCTATTTTTGCAACCAATCAACAGGTAAGTATATCCAGTGGATTCAATCTCAAACTGTAATACAGTTTTCACTCGTGTGATCACTTGCATGCATACCATCATGCATGGTTACAAAACCACCAGTGATCAGTGACTTTGTGATTCCCCTTTTGTCTAAATCCTTACCAAACAGAAAAACTCATCTCAGTTTTGAAGATTCTGCACTATATGAGCCTTTTTTTTTTTGGGGGTATACACTGGAGAGATTTTGAAGAGGTTTAAAGAAGACAGAGACATTGGAATGAAAAAAAAAAGCTTTATTAGACCCATTGATTGGTGTATGGGTCAGAAAATCTGGTAAGAATCTTTGAGATTGAATCCACTGGAGATACTTACCTGTTGATTGATTGAAGAAACAGCTGCATAAATTTAGGCGTTGGACTTTTTGAATTTACAACATATCAGTATAAGCATCCGTATTTTCTGATAATGAACAATGAACTATATGTTCAGTATACAGTATGTTCTATTTTGGTCTGTTAAACATACACTTAAAACATTTTGTTATTTAATTATTATCATGTAAACTTATGCGTCCTATTCCCTCTCCAGTACTCTCAATGAACTGAAAAAAACAATTCCACCTACGTTATGGAAAGAGGAGGTGTTCTATAGTCTTAACACATCTTCTGTCCTAAAGTGACAACAGTGATCCTCCATAGATACAGTACCATGATGAATGTTGTCACCCTAGGACAGGAAGTTTAGTACTAACAGGTTTTATAGGTAAAAGTAAATGATAAAAAAAACCCCTAAAAATCTTACATTATGAAGCTATGGTGCCTAGTTGTACATGTGTTTCCGGATGTTAATTTACACCTACCTGTTTTTTTGGATGATGGCTGTGTTCTTGGTGACTCCTGGGTTCTCACTAAGGCCAACTATGTTTTCACTGAACACTCTGAAGTAATATTCATTTCCCATGATGAGGTCAGACACTGTACATCGTGGCTGACGATTGTGCTCATATACTGTGAACCATTCCTGAGAATTAGATAAAAAAAAGTGAACATTTAGAACTTTCTTCTAAATGTAATTTTTTCTTTAGATTAACAGAAAATTAAAAAACCTGGCAATACATTTTGGAGAAGGATTTCAGTGTAATCTTTTGTAGGGTCAAAAGATTAATTACATGGTATACACAATATTAATTACATGGTGACCACAAAATTATTCAATCCATTAACTGGAAACGATGGTATCTTTCTACATGTGATCCCATCATAAGTAAATAATTACTCAGAAGTCAGCTTTAGTTTACAAGCATTCCAAGACAATCAGTGACTCTTTAGTCCATAGCTACTAGCAGGGAACAAAGAGAGAGAGGACCCCTGTTGCAATAGGCATACATTTACATGTGGTTTCTGAACCCAATGTAGATGGATATTAGAGGGGGTACATTTAACTTACCAGATGGGTTGAGTCTTAAAACATTATATATCACTTGTTAGAATACTGGCACTGCATATCTTATTATTATTATACAGTATTTATAAAGTGCCAATAGTTCGCTCAGCGCTGATGGTTTTATGGTTTGTAGATGCAGAACCTTCCACGTTGGTAAAACCAAGCATTGGTTCAGGTCCTGCATTGATTACCATGTTTATGCCATGGAAAATGGGAAGATTTCAACTCCATTCAGATCACATGAAGACCTTAAATATAATTTAGATTCTTCAGTTATTTTTTTTTTTTGCATTGAGGCATGTACATACATACCCTAGAGGTGGTGATTTAGATAAAGCTGTAATACAGTTGGAAACTGGATGGATATAATAGCATAATCCACTCAGTCTTATGGATCCATGTGTATATACAGTATGTATATAAATACTTACATGTGACTTTATTAATTTATCCCTGCCAAATAACTATTTTTATTTTAATTTTTCTTGCTCTTTTTCATGTTGCAGCCCTGGTGAAGGGGTGATGTGTGGCCCCCGAAACATACTGGTGCTTATATTTAATACACTGGTCAAAAATATTAAAGGAACACTTTGAAAAAACATCAGATCTCAATGGGGAAAAATATCAGGTTGGATATCTATACTGATATGGACTGAGTAATGTGTTAGGAATGTAATGATGCCCCATCGTTTGATGGAAATGAAAAATATCAACCTACAGAGGACTGAATTCAAAGACACCCCAAAAATTGAAGTGAAAAAATGATGCAGCAGTCTAGTCCATTTAGCTGAAACTTTATTGCAGCAACTCAAAATGGTACTCAGTAGTTTGTATGGCCCCCATGTGCATGTATGCAAGGTTGACCACGTTGGGGCATGCTCCTAATGAGACGACGGATGGTGTCCTGGGGTGTTTCCTCCCAGATCTGGACCAGGGAATCACTGAGCTCCTGGACAGACTGAGGTGGGATCTGGCCGTGTTGGATAGACCAAAACATGATATCCCAGAGGTGTTCTATTGGATTTAGGTCAGGCGAGCGTGGGGGCCATTCAATGGTATCGATTTCTTCATCCTCCAGAAACTGTCTGCAGACTTTCACTACATGAGGCCGGGCATTGTCATGCACCAGGAGGAAACCCAGTGCACCAGTGTAGGGTCTGAAAATGGGTCCAAGGATTTCATCCCAATACCCAATGGCAGTAAGGATGCCATTGTACAGCTTGCAGAGGCTTGTTTATCCCTCCATGGATATGCTTTCCAGACCATCACTGACCCACCACCAAAACTTTCATGCTGAATGATGTTACAGGCAGCATAATGTTCTCCACTGCTTCTGCAGACCCTTTCACATCTGTCACATGTGCTCAGGGTGAACCTGCTCTCATCTGTGAAAAGCACAGGGCACCAGTGGCGGACCTGCCAATTCTGGTGTTTAATGGCAGATTCCAATCAAGCTCTTTGGTGCCCAGCAGTGAGCACAGGGACCACTAGAGGATGTGGGGCCCTCAGGCCACCCTCATGAAGTCTGCTTCTGATTGTTTAGCCAGAGACATTCACACCAGTGGTCTGCTGGAGGTCATTTTGTAGGGCTCTGTCAGTGCTCATCCTGTTCTTCCTTAGAAGGAACAAAGGAGCAGATACCAGTCCTGCTGATGGGTTAAGCGCCTTCTGTGGCCATGTCCAGCTCTCCTAGAGTAACTGCATGTCTCCTGGAATTTCCTCCATGCTCTTGAGACTGTGCTGGGAGACACAGCAAACCTTCTGGCAATGGCACGTATTGATGTGCCATCCTGGAGGAGTTGGGACTGCCTGTGCCACCTCTGTAGGGTCCAGGTATCATCTCATGCTACCAGTAGTGACATTGGTCCTATGCAAAACTAGTGAAAAACAGTCAGAAAATATGAGCAGGGAAAAACATGTCAGTGGCCTCCACCTGTAAAACCATTCCTGTTTTGGGGGTCATCACTTTATTGTCCATCTAGTGCACCTGTTGTTAATTTCATTAACACCAAAGCAGCTGAAACTGATTAACAACCCCCTCTGCTACTTAACTGACCGTATCAATATCCCAGGAGTTTAATTGACTTGATGCTGTACTCTGTTTAAAAAGTGTTCCTTTAAATTTTTTAACAGTGTATTTGGAATAAAACCTTACTTTGGACTCTTAAGATTTCAGTGCACTTTGACTTCAAATTCAATTGAAAGTTCTGGCCAGCCACGGGATGGCAAATGTGATATCAGCTTAAAGTGGAGTTCCAGTGAATATTAAAAAAAATTAAAAAGTCAGCAGCTACAAAAACTGTACTTGCTGACAGGAAACGTACCTGTCCCTCGATCCCGCGATGTCCCCTCCACAGCCAGTTTCATCAGCCGCCCTGTGTTCCCAGTGCCAACATCTTCACAGCTTCTGAGAGCTTGAAGCTTCACAACCAGGCGCTCACTGCGCATGCGCGAGTAGCACTATACTTTGTGAATGGTCCTGTAGTCTTCTGGGACCTGTGACATGTCCGAGAAGAATAGGTGGAGGTAGGGGGGAGGACAACTTTTTCTTTTGATTGCCTAGGCACAATCACAGCAGAAGTGGGAGCGGGTACCTGTCAGTTTTGGGTACCCGCTCCCCCCTCGCTCCCCAAAGGTGCCAATCCTTAACGGGGAGCTGGGGACCAGTCCTTAAAGTGGAACTTCAACTTTTGGGTGGAGCTCTGCTTTAAGGGGTGACAGGAATGGTTAGTATGAGGAGTGCCTTAGGGTAGGTTCTACTATCTGTGCCAGTAATTCCATACCTAAATATAGCTGCAGCATGTGATCGGCTCCCAGCATTGGCATCAGGAGAGAGGAAGGACAATGGAGGCCCCATAGGGTGACGTCTCTGCCCAGGCATTGCAGCTATCTCTCCTCTACCCTGAAGCCCGCCACTGGGAAGATCAGGTGACTAGATCGGAGCATCCTTATATTAGGTAAGTATACACATCTTTTCTTTAAAGGGTAGTTAGTATAGGGCTTAGAATGGGGGTGGGAGCAGGTTTACGATTAGATAGGTTTAGACCAGATTTCTACTTTAATTATGCTCATCACATAGCATATTTAGTTGATGATACACTTACTATTGGTTGCATTTCTGTAATATAACTGACAACTTGCAGTTGTCTTTTAATTAAAGTCCACACCCATCAAAGTGCAGCCCTCCTTTACTTTGTGGCCACTTCCAGCACTGAACAATTTTTCCACTGAAGATGTCCCAGACAGGTCCTCCTATTACTGTGTTCCCCAAGCCTTTTAGCCTCTTAGCTCTCTTAAGGGAATGAGGTTCAGCACACATGCAAGTTAATTTTTCTCCATTAGAGCTCGTTCACACTTGACTTTATTTCTAACTCTTGCCAAACGCCCCTATAGCGTTTGACAAGCGTTAGACAGGCGTTTGTGAAGCATTTTTAACGCTCCGCAAACGCTCCCAAAACGCCCTATGCGCTGTTTTGAGGCGGTTGATAGGCATTTTGCCAAGTGTTAAAACCGCACCACAAACTCCTATAATGAAGTTTAAATGGTATTAACGCTCCGCATGTGCCTCGCAACCGGGTCACAACTGCACTGCAAACGCTGGCCAGGCGTTTGCACAGCGGCACCATAGACTTAATTGGGAGGCTTCAACTCCTCCTGACTCTACCAGAGACGTCAGTTTTGCCGCGACACAAATGCTTCCGTGTGAACAGCACTGTGTGCTGCCATGTGCCAGAATTTTCAGAGGTGTTTGAGAGGTGCTTCCCAAACGCCTGTCTAACGCCTGCTGACAAAGCTAGTGTGAAGGTAGCCCAAAGGCCATTTCAAGGTTTTATTGTTATAAATCAGCCAGAGTAGGATTGTTTAAGTATATGTACCTTTGTCTTCTTGTCAGCCTTTTGTATAGTGTAGCCTGTGATTTCTGAATTTCCATTGTCCTTTGGTGGCTGCCATTCCACCAGGGCATTGAAACCCCAAACCTCTTTGACAGTCACAACTTGTGGAGGCCCAGGCTTCTCTGCGAACATAATAAAAAATATATGGTTTAAACATATATATAAGCCAATAAGGTCTATTTATGCCCTCATACCGTATGTAAAGCAACTTACGGCCTTCACAGAAATATCTGCCCAGATACAAAGACACGCTCTAAAGTAAACCCATCACAGGTGAAATACAGGAATTGTCATTGCTGACCTCTGTCTGAAAATGCCGGTTGTTTTCTAACTAACCAGACAGAAGTATGTAGACCAGGAAGGCTAGTGTAAAGTCAGAAATCCTTGTCTGATTGCTTATCCTAGGCATCTAAACTAAATGAAACAAGATGATCAACAGTCGGGCTACTTCATTTTCACAAGAGGTCACTATTATAATATAGTAGTGGCAGCCTCGCGACAGGTTTCCTTTAATGTCCTACATTCAGTATACTGTCACAATACATTCAAATGTTTTATTTTCCATTCATTCTTTCTCTGTTTGAAATTGGTGTGTATTTAAAATGCATATGATGAAATATAGAACATTTTGGCAGCAAGGTACTGACATGACGCCAGCATTCAGGGTAGTATCATCATTTGAAAAGCTTGCCAAGTTCTTGGAACGGCAGGAGTGCCTTCATGACCAATTCAGGACTAGTAAATTCACACTTACAACTCTGAATTAGGAAGGATTAAAATAAACCTCTCACATTCTGTAGCCTGCGATAGAGCTAGGGGCAAGGGGGTTTATGCAGCCATTGCTGGACTATGTCCAAAAATGATGTTAAATATAGTTGAAATAGTAGAACTTTGATCTTTGCAGGTATCCAGCACACTTATTTTTAAATGTTGTAGTTCTTCTATCAGTCAGCAATATGGGGACAAGAAAACATTTAGGAGTGTTACATTTTCTAAGGATTAAAGTATATCTCTTCCTAATGGATGGTCATTTTATAGTAGATGCAACATTGTTGATGCTGACAATTATAATAGAAAAGGTAGACAGTATCCTTATTAATGTATGTTACATCGGAGAGATGTCCCTTCACTTTATGTCCTGTAGACAAAGCACAAATGGAACTACACACATATTCCAAAGGCCATACAGAACAGGACTGTACTGTAAACAGAGGAGGCAGTGAGTAAACTGTTTATAAGTCAGTTGGCACTGGAATACGTGTTCCCATTGAAACACTTTTTCACTTTCCTTTCTGGTGATAATTCAGATTGTAGAATTTACCATCACTTTTAGTCCTGGAAACAATGGTCACTAGGACAAATAGACATGGTAAATCCTCCCAACAGGGAGACAGAAAAAAATATGTTGTATCTGTTGCATGTGTGTACCCCAGTTTGCTGCCTTTGCAGTTTAAGGGCCCTTTTACATTTTTTGGAGTGCGTTTTGGACTGCACTCCAACTATATAAACAGTCCAAAATCCAGGTTATCCTAGGGGCATAGTTAACACCATTGCAGTGCAGTGCAGTGCAGTGCAGTGCAGAAAAGTATGGCACACTGCATTTTTCTGTACTACAAACGCACAAAAAGCATGTGAATGCACTGCAATGCATCACAGTGCGCATAGAAACCCAAGGAAAGAAAGAATTAGGAAGTGACCCCACAGGACAATTGCATATAGAAAAATGTGCATCAACTGCATGTAAAATGTGTGCCAAATGCATGCAAGGAAAAAATGCACAGTTACTTGCAGTTTCTGCTGTCAATAGGCCTTAAGGGGGGAAGTTGGGAGCAGAAAAAAAGGCAACTCAACCACATGTTTTTTACCCTCCCCCCAATCGCAAGGGTAAAGGAGCCTTAAAAGTTTTGAGAATATTCTCTTCAATTTTCCAATCATTTGCACATGAAAAAATAAGCAGGGATTTACTTTTCACATTAGTGGATAATTGAAGTGAATCTGCACACAATTTATTGTGGGAACAACTCCTTTAGTAAATCATCCTCATAGACATGCATTTTCAGATGAAGCAGTAAAGCATAACCATAGCACGGCAAATCATGTGCATGTAAGTAAATATGGCTGCCCATTGTATATATAAAGGCAAAACTTTATTTTTTCATTTTGGATAGTGTAAGGGAGGTGTCACAGTAAGCGCCCTCCCCCCTCCGCTGGCCCGCATCTGAGGTGACCCCCTGCTGTCTCTCGTCCTGCCGCGGCTCTTTGAAGCCGAGCCGTGCAGGACGAGAGGCACGGCCCCTCTCACCTCTGCCACTATCTTATTCCCATCTGGCGAGGGCGGAGGGGACAAGATAGCGAGGTTCACACCTCCCTGTGAACCCCCTGCAGAGATGTTCCGGATCATGGCGTCAGGTTGACGCCGCACAATCCCGGCATCCGCAGCGCGGGCACGAGGAGTTCCCGCTCTTGTGGATGCCTCCGGACAAAGGCCGCACTCACTAGTAGCGCGGCCCGTGTCCAGGGGGCGTGCCTTGTTGCTGGGCGATGAGGCACACCGCCCCCGGCCCACCCCCAGTTACCAGGAGGACCGGAGAGCGTCCTGCATCAGCTTAAGAGGCTGATGCCGGGCTCTCCGATGATCCATTCTGCTGTGCAGTCACGGAGGGAGCCCAGCTGTGGCGGGACCCTCATAACCAGACTCTGCCTGGGACCCCCAAGTCTAGGGGGAGATCGCCCACACCTGCCTGAGACCCCAAGCTAAGGGGAGAGTACCTGCTATCTGCCTGAGACCCCCAAGCCTAGTAGGAGATCGCCTGCCACCTGCCTGAGACCCCAGCTGAGGGGAGATTACCTGCCAGCTGCCTGAGACCCCCAAGTCTAGGGGGAGATTGCCTGCCAGCCTGCCTGAGACCCCCAGCCCAGGGGCAGATTGCCTGCAAGCCTTGCCTGAGACCCCAGCATAGGGGGGATATTGCCTGCCTGTTGCCTGAGACCCCAGCCTAGGGGGGAGATTGTTTGCCTTCTGCCGGAGGCCCCAGTCCAAAGGGGGGAGACCGCACAAGCCAGCCTGCCTGAGGCCCCAGCAAAGGGGGGAGATTGCCTGCCTGCTGCCTGAGACCCCAGTCCAAAGGGGGGAGACCGCACAAGCCAGCCGGCCTGAGACCCCCAGCCCAAAGGGAGAGACCCCCCCGCCTGTCCCGGTCCTCCAACAGGTACATGTGTCTTACTTTCTTATCCCTGGTAGACTGGACACCCTGTCGGATCCGTGGGCATATGCTTTCCCCTGTTTTACCTGAACTGTCCCTGTGATGATCCCCTAACCCCCCTGTTGGATTACAGTTTGCTACAGAGACTTTTTCTTTGCTCTCGATACTGGACTCCAAGTGTTATAGCCCCTCCTTGCTGTTCCCCTACTGGCGAGATCACCCTCCCTGCCATTTCCCTATTGAATGACTGTCATTTTGTTGTCTCAATAAAGCTTTGTACGTTTGCCATCTGCTCTGTGTGTTCTGTCCTGCCTACCCTCCGTCACAGGAGGGTATAACCCCTGCTAGTTTTTTTTTCTTGTTTTCCATTGGGGAGATTGCCCTTAACTTCCTGTCCCATAGCCAGAACAAAAAGCAAGAGGAAATCCATCCAAATTGAGGGAATCTCTGGTTGTCACCAGGGTCACTAGAACTAGTGTCTCCATTTGAATAATTCTGGGAACAACCTAACATTTTGGATTTTCTTTCACTTACATTCCTGGTGATAATGGTAAACATGATAAATAGAAAGGGTGAATTACCCTAATGGGCACAAACATGATGAAAAACCTAATAGGTGTTCTAATCCCTCTCCAGTCTGTCCAAAGCCAAAAATTGCCTTTAGGCATACTTTAAAGCTCATTGTACCCTTTAAAAGTCCCCCAAAAATGTAACTTTACCTTTTACCTTTGACCCAAAGGCATTTTGCTGCAAAGTGAAATTTTGCACAAATGTCCCAAATTTCAGACATTTTGTCAAAGCCAAACCTTTCAATTTCATGTATGTCTATATGTAAAGATATTAAAGGTATATTCGTTTATACTGTATACAACATTTAACCCGGTAGTTGGCAATACATCATCTGTTTCCTTACAGACTTACCTACAATACGAATGTTTATTATTGCAGTGTCTTGCATGTTTTCAATCTGCACAGTGAGACTATATTTTCCAGAGTGACTTCTTTCAGCAGATCGGATAAACAGGATAGTGTCTATTTCAGTAGTTCTTACACTGATTTGCTTTGGGTCCAAGGGTTGGCCTTCTTTTGACCACGTAACCATTGGCCTTGGTTTTCCCTGTAAATTTAATTAATACAGAATTGATAAAACTGTTGCAGTAAAATACTGGAAACGTCTCTTTTTACCCATTTAGTTTACTTCCATCATACAGTTACCTGGAACGGAATAACTAGATTGACTTGCTCCCCAACTTTTCTGACATATGTCTGCCTGAGATGGCGAGGTAAGCGAATCTTTGGTTGTTCTGGTAAATCAAAATAAAGTACAAATGAGAAGAAAATTTGTTATGCACTTATATAAAAGGAAGTATGGTATTAGAAGAAATGTGATACCACTGATCAAAAAAGCAGCCATTCTCAGAGCCCCATATTCCGATACAAGTTTCAAAGCAGTCTAGCTGAACCTGCAGCTTTACTGCAAGTAACTAATTTAGAACAAATACAGTGTGTTGCTTAGAAACTCCAATGCCACAGACTGCATATTTGTGTCTGGCCAGTAAATTCACTCGCAGTGAAATAAAGTATTGGTTTGAGTATTTCTATGGAACGTCTATTCTGCAAAGGAAGGATGGACAGTTACGACTTTCTTGGAGAAGCATTTCCTATTTATGAAGGACACTTTTTAATACACTGAGGTGGTTCATGAAAACTGGAGAAAACAACCCCCAATGTGGGAATATTATGGCATCTAATTACGGTAGGTTTTACCTTTCATTAAAAGGAAAAATTAAAAAGAGTATTCTAATTGGTCACTATTTGCTTTGGATGCATAGGAGACCTTCTTTTGACCACGCGATCCTCAAAAACCAACTCAGTGCATAAGCTGGAATGAATGTTTATTATTTTTTAATGTATGTCTGTAAACTCATAATTCTTCAACACTCATTTGTGATGTACTGGTAATATTTATAAAAAAAAGAAATTATGGAGTGTTTGAACTGATATTATCTAAAGCATGAAGTCTGATTTGTTTGAGACTTACGCACAATCTCCCGAATAGTGACAGGCTGAGACATTAACGCTGGTTCACTCTTTCCAGCAATGTTCACTGCAACGACACGGAATTCAACCTTTTCTGCAGTTGGAAGATCCTTCACAGTGTATCCACATCTTTCTACCAGCTCTTGGTTGGAAGTTATCCATTCAGTAGCTGTGAAAATACATTTAGAGAATGTAGGCTGGATTTTTCAGCTGTGTACAGTCTTCTTCCAATGATTAAACCCTGACATGGCAGTTTCTGTTTTTTTAAAGGTGTAAATTTGAACCATGTAAGTATGCATGTTTCACACCTGAGCGATCGCTGTGGAAGATGCAAATCGCTGTAGTAATCAGGGCCAGAACAGTGAAGCAGCAATTTTCTGGGTCCTGTGTTGAGCAGCTTTCCTTCTACATAGCAACCAGAGGTGTTGCTTGTTTTGCACTGCTGCCATTCACAGAAAGTCTTGTAATTTTTTCAATTAATACATGAGGGCATTCTCTGTTTGGATGGGGTGAAGATTATGATTGGCCCACCTCCCCACCTTGTCCATTTAGGGAGCATCTTGTATTTATTTAAAAAAATGCAAGGCATTCTGTGTATGAACGAACCCCTGTGGTTACAATGCAGAAGGGAAGCTGCTCAGCACAGGATCTGGAAGATACAATGATTTGCAGCTTCTGCAGTATATGAGACATGCACATTCTTAATGGGTTTAATATCATTTTAAATAATCACCACAATGATGTACTTCGCATTGTTTATCTGCAGAAAAAACTGGCATCAGATTCATACTGTTAACCAAGAATCTATTCACTAATCAAATAAATTAGGAACACACTATATGATAAGACATGAAGTTATGTAAACCCAAACAATGAACTTTGGTCTGGTAAATAGACCATTGGAAGTGTTTTATCTGTCCCATTTTTATTTATTTATTACAGGTACTTATAGAGTGCCATCAATTTACATATATATAGTACATTCACATCAGTCCCTAACCCTCAAGGGGTGTAAAGTCTAAGGTCCCTAAATTAAATTCATACTGGGGCCAATTTAGACAGGATCAAATTAATCTATCAGCATGTCTTTGGAAGGAAACCAGAGTTCCCCAGAGGGGACCCATGCAAGTAGAGTGAGAAGATGCAAACTCCAGGGAGGTGGGGCTGTGGCTGGGATTTGAACCAGTGACCCTAGTAATGACAGGCAGAAGTACTAACCATTTAGCCACTGTGCTGCTGTCCCATAAATGCAAACAAATACCTGTTGAGTTTGCTAGAAATCTTGTGAACAGACAACTTTGTTTGCTATCTGCCTATAGAGATGAGGAGGGATCTGTGTAATTGATCATAAATGAAAGTAGGCAGGGCTGACACCACGTGCTAAGGAATTCAGAGTTGTGTTGTCATGTCAAAATAGAAGGTATTTTTCTGTACTAGCAGTGTGTTAAAAGGAACAAAATGTGGGGTAATGTGCATGTATCACAGCAGTGAACAATGTTTTTATTTTCCTTTGACATACGCTATAATCCATTTTATTAAGAAACTGCAATGTCCAGGGAATGCAAATACATGTAAGGTGGGGGAGTAAATAAGAATAAGGCCGATTGAAATAACATAATTTCATCACTAATTTTTGTTTTCTGTTCACCTCTTAGCCAAATAATCTTGCTGGCTAATCTTGCTGACTGTCAAATTGTAAATTAGTTTTCATAAATTTCTGTCAGGTTGCTCGCTTTATTCAGATTGGAGAACTACACAATCACAGGAATACCGGGGAAAGACCTAAACTGAGCACCAACTTGAGATTAATGATTCCTATGGTGTTTACAGTCTGGTTAGGTGACATCTGACATCTATGGGACTTACACAATGACCAGATCAATCATTCTGTGAAATATAATCAATTAGTTGAAAACCTCCTGCAGTTATTGTTCCCCTACAGCAAGGGTGGTACCAAATCTGTTTGCCACAATCTCTCCATACCTCTCTTCACAGACCTATTTATGTATGAGGATGCACGTGGCATTTATGAAGGAGTCTGAACACAGTGGTTCCCAGGGACACAATGCACTTCTACATCTGGCCATCTTTCTTTTTTTAGAAAATTTTTTTTATAATTTTCAAATTTGGAAAATTAGTAGCAAAGATTTACACAATATCTACTCCAATAAGGAGAAAATATAGCACATGTTCAAAATGAGTTAGAGGTTTTAAAGTCAGTTTATGTTACATATATGACCCTAAAATAAATTCCACAATAGTGGACTAATGAAATATTAATATGGAATAAATATAAAAATAAAACATGATTCCAAATACAATATACTGGGTGCTTCTGCTAATAAGTGACAATCTGACTGCTCAAGTTATAAACCTTTGTGAACTTACATCCTTCTTTACGATACTCAATTAGATAACCATCAATTCCTCCAGCTCCAATACGATCTGGTGGTCTCCATTTCAAAGTGCAGGTGGTGTCTGTCACGTCTTCAACCGTCAAATGTAGAGGTTCACTAGTAGGAGCTGATAAACAGATATTGTAAATGTTTTAATTGAATTCTTAGCCATTTTTCTTGGGTTAATAATGCTTATATGATGCAGACACATGATGTATAAGGAAAATGCAGAAGTTTTCTGTAGATCACACAAGAACTTACAGCCAGTGAATTGGTGGATCAGGACCATACATTTGAGCAATGCTGATTTATACCACTTTTCTCCACTGAATCCTCTGTTTTTGCTAAAAGTGGAGGTCTTTAAGGGTTGATGTGTAAAGTATATATACACCCCAACAATGAATATCTCTTATTTGCTCCCCTTTCGTCTGTGAAATATTCAGCATTATTGAAAGCATATTGTAATATCTGTTCAATAAATGTAAAAAATACTGTTCGACCCTGCCATAAATATTGTAAGCTGATAACTGGCCTGTACTGTTGTCAGTTAGCATTGGTACGAGATTTCTCTGTGGACTACAGAGCAACACTCCCCCCCCATGTAATGAAGATGAGATGAGAGGAAGAGCTGTTATATAGTCATAAATACTTTCTGTCCAAGACGTACAACACCGTTCCTTCAAAGTGTAGTGTACAGTACGTTCTTTTCACTATTTTAATTTCACTACAATTATTTCACTCCGTAAACAACAGCAACCACATAGGATGAAAAAGGTCCCCGAAATAAAAGCCATTACTCAAACAGACCTATGGGATGCATTTCTTTGTTTTTCTATTCGCTTAAACTGAAATCTGCTTATTTGTCATAGCCAGCTGTTTTACACTGTCTCAAGAACAATTAAATGTTTTCCTTAATCCTTTAGGGGACCAAGTACATGTAGCACTTGGTCCTGTTTGGATCTGTTCTTCAGTTGTTAAGCTGCATGGTTGGACAGTTTGTCCCGTTCTTTTTGACAACACTGCTGGCAACGAAATAGATTTGTGAATGATAGTGCTGGCCTTCGGTAGCAGGGGCCCTTCTGGAGACCAGCACTGCTATTCCCCACAGATCGCACAGGGCTATGAGATCTATCAGCAGCTACTTGTAATTACACAGCCCTGGTAGTGGGATTGCAAAGTGCCACAACACTGTGTGGTCTCTTTTGTGAATGAACAGGCAGCAATGCGGGGTGGTGCCATACGCAGCACTGGTCTGCCATTGCCAATTGTTCATTCATAATAGTGACACAGCTCAGTGGCACTGTGTGATCCATCTGCTGGGGCTGTGTGTGTTTACAAGCACCTGCAGATAGATCACAAAGCACCTGAGGGATCTTTTGCTCTTATGCTTGAACAATCAGTGTTGTCGATGCAGCATTGATTGTTCTTTCATTATAGCAAAAGAACAATCAGCATATAATGGGAGTGCTCAGAGCTGGCTGTCCTTCCCCCAACAAGAATGTCCATAAATTGGGCTTCAGAATAGGGTGAAGATAAGCCCAACAAAAGAGGCTCTTTCAATCCACAATGGGGCCACTTAGTAGAAGGGGACCAAGTGCTTTTTCTATGTTCCAGTTCTATACATTAACTCAGCAGAAAATGATTTGTTTCGGTCAGTTAAACATAACTGGTAATCATCTCATGAGAGACAGAAATAGCATACAGACCAGGGGCGGACTGACCATTTGGAAACTCGGGCACTGCCCGAGGGCCCGGGGTCAGTAGGGGGCCCCATGAGATGCTCCTGGTACCTTTTTCATAGGCTTTTTTGAGTTTGCGCAAGAACATAGGGGCCCCATGATCCCCTATTGCCCAGGAGCCCCATGAGTTGTCAGTCCGCCCCTGATACAGACTGGCAATAGGTAGCATACTAATGCATGGTTCAACCATTAATGTGTCATTCTTGTGACACCTTGTGTCATTCTCTGGCCAGGTAATTTTCTGTAACAATATTGCCAGTTACAGAATGTAAGCAGAATATAGTCCAAACATCCATGTGAAATTTACTCTTTAGTTCATTCATTTTTTAAATTCTTTTAGTCAGTTTATTAAAGACAATATGCTTACTCACTCACCGATTGGCATAAATGGCTTGGACGTGTTAGCCTGTTGGGAAATGCCAATGGCATTGACTGCAAAGACTCGAATTTCATACATGATGCCTTCAATCATCTTTGTTGATTGATATGAAGTATCAGTGAAGACTTCAAAATTCATCTTCATCCACCTTTGACTGCCCTTCTTTTTCCTTTCAATAAGGTAGCCTAAAGACAAAAAAAATATAAGAAAATTCCACATAAAGCAGAGTTCCACTCACATTGTCAAAAAATAAAAGTCAGTAGCTACAAAAACTGTAGCTGCTGACTTTTAAAAAACAGCCACTTACATGTCCCTCGGTCCATCCTGTATTCCAGGAGGCTGGCATCTTCAGTGTGGTCACCCGGCTGTGATAGCTTGTGGCTTCACAGCCGGGTACTCTTTGCGCATGCGCAAGTAGCGCTGCACTTCATGAATGGTCCTGTAGTCTTCTGGGACCTTTCATGTGTCCCAAAAGACTACAGGGAGGGAGGACACCGTCCGCTTCCGATCGCCTAGGTGATCGGACCGGAAGTGGGATTAGGTACCTGTCAAATTCAGGTACCTGCACCCCCCAAAGGTGCCAATCCTTAATGGGGAGCAGTCCTTAAAGCGGAACTTCCCCTTTTGGGTGGAGCTCCACCTTTTAAGCTAAAAGTTACCAGCAATGTTTGTATATTTCCATTCCATGTACCCCCCACACTTTCTCTTAAAAATCTGTCCAGCTGACAGTCAGTAGAGTGAAGGGGGAGGAGCTCTCTCCATTCTGCAAGGAGACTCCCATGTCAGGATGGAGAGGCATCACTGGATGCATGTGAAGGAAGCCAGATGCAGATAGAGACACACTGAGCAAGTAAAAGAAGGGGAATCAACTGACACGGATCCCATCCCCCATCCACCCATCAGCCAGTGTTAATGGGGGATAGGGATGACATCAGTGACAGTGGTGATGGGGGGGATAGGGATGACATAAGTGACAGTGGTGATGGTGGGGATATGGATGACATCAGTGGCAGTGGTGATGATGGTGGTGATAGGGATGACATCAGTGGCAGTGGTGATGGTGGGGAGAGGGATGATGTCAGTGGTGGTGGGGGGATAGGGATGACATCAGTGGTAGTGGTAATGGTGGGGATAGGGATGACATCAGTGGCAGTGGTGGGGGGGGATAAGGATGACATTAGTGGCAGTGGTGATGGGGGGATAGGGTTGACATCAGTGGCAGTAGTGGTGGGGGATAGGGGTGACATCAGTAGCAGTGGTGGGGATAGAGATGACAGACTGCCACTGGACTCTGCAACAATGGGTGGAGAGGATAGGTGGGCAGTCCAGTATGGCAGTGACAGTGAGTGCTTTACCCCCCTCAGCCACAGTGTACAATCCCCCAACCTGACTCAATGCCTCTAACAAGAATAGGGGGGAGGCCCCTCCCCACAGTGGTGGAACATGCGGGCCCCCCACACTGGTGGCAATTTCTCCCCAACCCATCCCCTGCACTGCGTTATGAAAATTGGGTGGCCGCAAAGCCCCTGTGAGCACGAGGCATCAGGCGACTGCCTAATTTGCCTATTTAAAGAGCCACCTCTGATCTTTATTAACTAAACCAACCATGCTAAACATTTAATTGTTGATAAAAAAATGAAATATTGCTATATAAAAACACAGATGTTCAGGCACCTTTTGACTGCTGAAGTATTGGCACTGACCTTTTAGTTGGACAGGAGAAAAACTACACTGAGGACACACCAGACAGGCTTTTCTTAATGGAATATTCCTATCTTATGGAATTAAAATGATATTAAAAGCACATTTTTTGTAAAAATAATAACATGTTATGCTTACCTGCTTTGTGCAATGGTTTTGCACAGAACAGCCCCTATCCTCCTTTTCTCTGGTCCCATGCCGGCACTCCTGGCCCCTACTTTCTGCCAAGTGCCCCCACAGCAAGCAACTTGCTTTGAGGGCACCCAAGCAGGTACCATCCCAAGCCTCTGCTCTCCTGTCCATTCACACATAGAGCCATGGCTCGGCCCTACCCTCTCTCTCTCCTCAATGACTCACTGGCTGTGATTGAAAAATTGAGAAATCAGAGGAAGAGGCACGTGGGAGAGGAAATATTATGCGCTCAGTTTTGGATAGATTGAGTTTTAGGAAGTGGTGTAACATCCAGTCTGAGGTGTCTGTTAGTAAATCGGCGAAAGTTACTGTATATGTTGAAAAATTTGTTGTAAATAACTCTCAATATTGTATGAGAGAGGCTTTGGGGCTGATTTACTAAAACTGGAGAGTTTAAAATCTGCTGCAGCTGTGCATGATAGCCAATCAGCTTCTAACGTCAGCTTGTTCAATTAGGCTTTGACAAAAAACCTAGAGCTGCAGCAGATTTTGAACTTTCCAGTTTTAGTAAGTCAACACCTTTGTTTCTTCTTACTGGTTCAAACATTTTATAAACATTTTTCATCCAACTGATGTGCCCAAGAAAAAAGATGCAAAAAAAATAGTTTCTCATTTTTTATTTATATGACCTGCTTGGATTTGCCCATAGGACTTGTTTGTCATTTTTTTTAATTCTGTTCTTTATATATTTTAGTTATGAAACCAGTAAAACTGTTTGGTTTGCTCACCTGTCACCTCTTTTCCACCATCATATTTTGGTGGGTCCCAAATAACACTTGCCCAGTCCTCACCGACACTGGTGATGCGAACATTCTCTGGTGGGTCTGGGACATCTTAAAGATGAGAAAAATCTAGGTTAGAAGTGGAATTACCATTAAGCAGCATGTACTCTGCTTTATGGAGATGAAACTAAGAATAATCTTACCAACAACTTTGACAATCAAGGTGGCCTTATCTTCACCAACTGGATTGGTTACCACAATATTGTATGTGCTTTCATCGGATCGTTCTGCACTTTCAATTACTAAACTGCTTAATTCTGTTCTAAGTTCTACATGAACCCTTCCTTCAGTATCTTTTATCTCCTGAAAGACAAAAAATATTAGGCTATAAGGAGATACTAAAAAAACACAGATTATGGGCCTGTTGTTATTGTTTTCTGCAACATTGAGTTTGATTTTTACTACTGTTCAACCTAAGCTCTTTAAATCTAAAATGTCATTTGTGGTTTAGAAGTTCTAAATTAAACTTCTGTGTTAGAAAAACCATTAGGTATTGACTTCTAAATTCTAGGAAATTAAGACAGAAAAGATGTGGAGGTTATGAAACTTCAGGCGGACAACTAAATACAAAATTGAAATATTTATATATTTATGCCTTTACCTGCAAAAGAATTTGTAATTCGGACAGCCAGCATTGTGATTTACATTTTTGTTTTACACTGCACACATTTTTTGGTAAATTAATCTTTTTGGTTCAGCAGGCAGCTTCCTATGTTACCTTTCCACCTCTATTCTCCTCTTTTGGCAGTAAATCAGGAAGCAGTAATGCTAAACCAGAAAGTAGAAGAGTTATCATACTGGCTAGCAGAAGTGTGTGCATCACGAGAAATGTCTGTCAAAAATAAAAAATAATTTGGCAAGTAAAACAGTGAACATTTATGTATTTCAACTGTGTTTTAGCTATTTGACTGCTGTTCCACTTTAAGCTGTGTGTCCACCATCATAGAGAAAAAATAAAAAACACCTTAGGAACATTTTTTAGTGATGGAGCAAGTGGTCAGTCCTTTCTAGAAATATAGGAAACCAGAATTAACTCACCCGACCAGCTTCTGTGTGCAAGTGAAATATAATTTTTTTTTTTTTTGTGGACTGACCTATTCAATATACATTGGAAACCTTTGCTGTTGACTTGCCTTGTCTACTTTGAACCATGCAACCGTTGGTGCAGGCTCTCCAGTGATTGGGACATCAAAGCGAAGTTTGTTTCCAGCCACAACAATGATAGTGTTGACATGTTCACCTCCAGAACAATCAAGGTGGATCTTGGGGGGTTCTAGAGATGTGAAAAAAATATTTTTATTTTAAATGTGCAAAGATTTATTCAGTATAGAATTAGTAATTAGTCAGTACACTAGAAAATGAATTCATTTTTGTCAATGTGAGATGATGCATGTGAAGAGATGGAGGCTATTCACCTCTGTGACCAAGTCCCCATGGGTGGGGCAAAACACATCAGAGGGAGTGGCCAGAATGGCAGCTAAGGCCATTTTTTAACATTGGACTCCAGGAGTCGGTTGAGCAGCGTCCATCCCTTCTCTTGTATTGGCTAACACTGGAATCGCTCGGACTCATGCTCTCCTCTTCTCACTTTCCGGTGGGGTGATCTTTTTCCTTCCATCCATAGCTTGGAGTGGTACCATAAGGTATACTTTTCACCATGAGATGATGCAGATTACACATTAGCACAATTTTTGCTATTTTTGTAAACATTTACCTGAGTGCAAGGCTGAAGGCTAAAGCTGAACTCTAGGTAAATGGAAAATACGCAAAATAATCTCAGTCCCATGAAGTGCAGTCACTTTTGCATCAGTTGTTTTCTTATTGGGGTCACAATCCTGTGCAATGTCCTTTTGTCTCCTTTAGTCAGTTGACTATGTCGTCCACGCTTATGCTTATTAGACAACGTTTTCCCAGAAACTTTATATGCCAACATAACCTTTGATACTGCACCTTGCAACACGGCAAATAAATTGGCAACTTCAGTCATAGAGGCACCAGCTAAGCGGCACCAACAATTTTCCCTCTTTGAAACGCCGTAAGCTCTGACATGAAACCATATTAATAGCAGTGCACGCAGTGAATGATGAAATTGAGGCTTCCCACCTATTAGCTAGGTGTCTCATTACACAGTGAAAGTGAAAAAATGTTATATCACTTCCACTTTCAATGCAAAACATATCTTCACTTTCACACCTGCAAATCATGTAATGTTTCCATTTTTTGCCTAACCCCTGTATATTTAACTAGTTCCTTTGCCAGTATTAGTTGTCGGTAGCCTAAAGCCAAAGCATTACGAAACAATGCATTTTCACTGTTTAATAGGGATGCACTTAGTACATTTCAGGTGGTGCTTCAGACAAAATCTGGAACTAAACTATGAGTAATTATAAAAGCAACAAGATGCAGGAGAGCACGGTATTGCAAATATGCATTAAAGCGGTAGTAAACCGCTACCTTTGCAAAAAAAAAAATCAAACCTGCAAGACAATAGCGTAATGTGCTAGTATTCATTGCATACTAGCACATTATGTGAAACTTACCTTAAAACAAAGCCTTCCAGGGGCATGCTGTCACTGCTGACAGGGCTTCCATCTTCACTTGGTCCTTCTTCCGGCTTTGTGGGCTCTGGCGGCTTGAATGGCCAAGCTGCGATTACATCATTCCTGCGTATGCATGTGGGAGGCACTTTTTACAGCACACACCTCTGAAAGAGCAGCATAGGCATGCTGTTCCATCAGAGAGCATGCATCGATGCTCCTTTACAAGTAAATATCTCTTATACAATGCACTTTTAGGATATATAAACAGTACCCTACAGGTAAGCCTTATTATAGGCTTACCTGTAGGTACATGTGAAGAAGAAAAAACTACTTTACCACTTTAAAGAATAGAAGATTTCTACTTTTCCCAGTTATGCTCTAAGTCTTACCTTGGCGAGGAACATATTCAATTTTGATCTCTGTGAAAAAGGAGAAAAAAAATATTTTAGTGAGAGTAGGACTACATGTTATCACTATGACAATGCACACAATAGCGCGTCTATCACCTATGCTGTCTGTAAAATCTGTCCTATCTCTTCAAAATGTCAACTTGCTATGGACAGCAGAAGAACAGTACTTCCCTGTCCTTAGCAGTAAAGGTTTGGTTACTATTGCAGAATAGAAATTATGTATATGCCCCCTTGTTTCTGAATGGTTATCTGAATTAATGCAAATCTGGTGGAAAGGACACATAGCACTTGATGTTCTGAAACAACTGAATTTCCATCCCTGCATAGGAAAGTGAGATTTGGAACCGGCAGATTGTAAGTACACAGTGAGGGTAAGTGGCAATAAAGGGATAGGGTGTGACTAAGGTACAAGTGACCAACAGTCTTCACATGTGCCACAATAATTCCAGAAACAGTTACATGTGCTAGGACATTCTATTGTTCTATTGATGTGCATGTTTTAATCTAGTTTTGAGTACTGATAAACTTCACAGTGAAATATTTCTTTATCAAAACAGTGTTACATTAGGAATGTTTTTATGTAAAAAAATATATTCTCTACATTTTCTTCAACATTTTAGTTAAAAGTAACCAGTTTAGTAAATATCTGCATACCACAGTGAGATTTTATTGTACTATGATCTTGACTTCAATATTGTGGTTAATTTGTTTAGCTAAACTGTTCCATAAACAAAAGTCCTATAGGTATTATTTTACCACGTTGACCATTATACAAGGTGTGTACCATGAACATGGTAAAATGTCCTAAATCTTTTTGTTTTGAATTAGAGTAGAAAAGGGATACACCACGTCAGTTTATTTATTTAATTATTTTGTGTCCTATTGCAGAGATCTCCTTTTACTTCCTGCCTTGGGGACACAACAGAAAGTTAAAGGAAATCTCTCCAAAGGGAATTGCCCTCTAAGATATGTAATGGTTAAACAGGTGTCCCCATTGGAAGATTTCTTCTCTATTCCTGTTCCTGTGATAACTTTAACAAAGTGGAGACGGTGAATTGCCCAGTAAGAACACAGGCAAATCCAAAACTACAAAAAATGTAAAACTATCCAAAACTAGAAGGAATGTTGACTTTACATATATTATAAACATGAAATATTCTTGTAGATTTGCAAAGATCACAGAGACTCTGTACCTACAGGCTTCTGAGATACACTATATGGTCAACTATTTGTATAAACTTACACATCACACCTATACACACTAATTCGATATACTATTCCAAAACCATCATAGAGTCACCCCCCTCTCTTTTTGTGGGCAAACCAGTCTGTACCCTTCTGGTACTGACTTCAGAAAAGAAGACCTGGCTTGCAATCAGCATTCAAATTCCTCCCAAAAGTGTTCTGTAGGGCTGAGTTTGGGGCTGAACACAGACCAGTTGCATTCCTCTACACTAAACTCATCAAAACGTGTTTTTTGGACCTTACTTTGTGTGCACAGGAATAGTTATACTGAAATTGAAGGTGGTCTTACTCAAGCTGTTGCCATAAGGTTGTTAGTGAACAATAACGGTACACTTCACTGGGTTTAATGGAGCTCAATCATTTGGAGGTGTGTCTACATATATAGTGTAAACCCAGCCTAGACAACAGTTCAAATGTTTCCCTGCTCCATCAACCATTTTTTTATTAAAATCGCCTATATCTTATCTAAATAAGGTTAAAGATGTAACTGAAATTAAATAAATTAGGTCCGAAGGGAAGGGAGGTAGGTTAGCTCGGAGATTAAAACATAATACTATGGTCTAATATATTGTTCTAGGGTGCACATTACTACCAAGGAAGTTGAGCTTGGCAGAGAGAGTCAAAGCAAATCCATCAGGGACAAATGTGTAGTCAGCCTCATCTTCTGGTCGGACAACATCATCGATCACCAACTTGTGGATTCTGTAAAGTAAATGTAATATCCTCTTTATACCTTAATTCTCTTTTAGAGAATAAAAAGTTCTCCACTTCAGTTTTTCCATACCCACTGCTCTGGCCATTATGAGATTATCTAACAATTACAGGTAATATCTATATATAAGACTTTAGAATATACACTATATTGCCAAAAGTATTGGGAGCCTGCCTTTACATGCAAATTAATTTAAATGGCATCCAAGTCTTAGTCCATAGGGTTCAATATTGAGTTGGCCTACCCTTTGCAGCTATAACAGCTTCAACTCTTTTGGAAAGGCTGTCCATGAAGAATATAAACAGAAAATCCTCCTGCGCAAAAGGGAAATAACCCTACTTAAGCTGCAACAACACTTAATCTGTTACCCAAACAGTGATAATACCAAAAAATACATAAATAGTGCAGCGCTCAAAAAAATAACCTATATACATAAATAAATGTGCTCACATGCAATAGTGACACACATATAGTGAAATAACCTAAATAACAAGTGCCACTTAATGATCTAAGGTGTCCACAGAATCATATAAATATATTTAAATAACGTGTAAGAGCGCCTAAATATCAAACGTATAAATATCATAGGAAAAAAAATGATTTTAAATAATTTATAAAGTGCTCCAAGTGTGGTGATATACCCACATACAATTAAATTTATTTCTCAAAAAAAAAAACAAAATCGAACAAAAAATTGTCCATAAAAAATAGTGGCCAACACATGCAAAGTGAAAAAGGTGCAAAAAATGCTAAAAATAGTGCAAAGCAAATGTGTCCTTGTTCCACAGCAGTGCAATTCTTCCCCTCCTACGGCTAAATTGCCTCCTCACCTCCTTACATCGACCCCTAAGGGCCACACAGCATTCAGGATCTCTCTGGATCCTTATCCCCTGGAAATCAGCACTTCTCCTGCCGTCCTGGATCACTTTGAGGGTATTTCCATTACCCTCACTCAGAAGCTTCTATAGGATAATTGCTCACCATCCAGTGAGCAAGAAAGAAAAAGATCCTCTAAGTGCAGTATTTTAAGGGCCAAACACCACTTTAATGACAGTGTTTAAAACAAAACATATAGCCACTCACATGTTTTTCATTCCTCTTGTCTCGACATGTGGGTGTACTGCATGTAATTGGAAGGACTTCCTGGGTATACCAAGATGGCGGTTGGCACCGGAAGTGCGTCACCGCGTACCGGAAGTATGGCGTACTAGCGTGCCTACGCGTTACGTCACTATTACTCGTTGACTTCCTCTGGGCTGAGGAAGTCACGAGTAATAGTGACTTAACGCGTAGGCACGCTAGTACGCCATACTTCCGGTACGCGGTGACGCACTTCCGGTGCCAACCGCCATCTTGGTATACCCAGGAAGTCCTTCCAATTACATGCAGTACACCCACATGTCGAGACAAGAGGAATGAAAAACATGTGAGTGGCTATATGTTTTTGTTTTAAACACTGTCATTAAAGTGGTGTTTGGCCCTTAAAATACTGCACTTAGAGGATCTTTTCTTTCTTCTCACTGGATGGTGAGCAATTATCCTATAGAAGCTTCTGAGTGAGGGTAATGGAAATACCCTCAAAGTGATCCACGGCAGGAGAAGTGCTGATTTCCAGGGGATAAGGATCCAGAGAGATCCTGAATGCTGTGTGGCCCTTAGGGGTCGATGTAAGGAGGTGAGGAGGCAGCCGTAGGAGGGGAAGAATTGCACTGCTGTGGAACAAGGGACACATTTGCTTTGCACTATTTTTAGCATTTTTTTGCACCTTTTTCACTTTGCATGTGTTGGCCACTATTTTTTATGGACAATTTTTTGTTCGATTTTGTTTTTTTGAGAAATAAATTTAATTGTATGTGGGTATATCACCACACTTGGAGCACTTTATAAATTATTAAAATCATTTTTCTTCCTATGATATTTATACGTTTGATATTTAGGCGCTCTTACACGTTATTTATATATATGCGTCTTTATATATTTTATGATTCTGTGGACACCTTAGATCATTAAGTGGCACTTGTTATTTAGGTTATTTCACTATATGTGTGTCACTATTGCATGTGAGCACATTTATTTATGTATATAGGTTATTTTTTGAGCGCTGCACTATTTATGTATTTTTTGTCCATGAAGAATGTTTGAATGTTTGACCATTCTTCCAGAAGCGCATTTATGAGATCAGGCACTGATGTCGGACGAGAAGGCCTGGCTCACAATCTCAACTCTAATTCATCCAAAGGTGTTCTATCAGTTGAGGTCAGGACTCTGTGCAGGTCAGTTCAAAATTCCTCCACCCCAAACTTACGCATCCATGTCTTTATGGACCTTGCTTTGTGCACTGGTGCTCAGTCATGTTGGAACAGGAAGGGGCCATCCCCAAACTGTTCCCACAAAGTTGGGAGCATGAAATTGTTCAAAATGTCTTGGAATGCTGATGCCTTAAGAGTTCCCTTTTCTGGAACTAAGGGGCTAAGTCCAACCCCTGAAAAACAACCCCACACCATAATCCCCCCCTCCACCAAACTTTACACTTGGCATAATGCAGTCAAGCAAGTACCATTCTCCTGGCAACCGCCAAACCTAGACACATCCATCGGATTTCCAGACAAAGAAGCGTGATTCATCACTCCAGTGAACACGTCTCCACTGCTCTAGAGTCCAGTGGCGGCGTGCTTTACACCACTGCATCTGATGCTTTGCATTGCACTTGGTGATGTAAGGCTTGGATGCAGCTGCTCAGCCATGGAAACCCATTCCATGAAGCTTTCTACATACTGTTGTTGTTCTAACTTGAAAGCCACATGATGTTTGGAGATCTTTAGCTATTGACTCTGCAGACAGCTGGCGACCTCTGCTCCCTGTGCGCTTCAGCATGCGCTGACCCCCGCTCTGTCATTTTACATGGCCTACCACTTCGTGGCTGAGTTACTGTTGTTTCCCAGTTGCTTCCACTTTGTTATAATACCACTAACAGTTGACTGTGGAATATTTAGTAGCAAGAAAATTTCACAGATGGACTTATTGCACAGGTGGCAACCTATCACGGTACCATATTTGAATTCACTGAGCTCCAGTGATCCATTCTTTCACAAATGTTTGTAGAAGCAGTCTTCATGCCTAAATCCAGTCATACATGGGTCGAAAATGCACAGAATTTCCCATTTTCTAAAGAAGATTCGTTTGGAATTCGACCCATATATGGCCTGCATTAATGCTTGATTTTATACACCTATGACCATGGAGGTGATTGAACACCTGAATCCAATGATTTGGAGGGCTGGCCCAATACTTTTGGCAATATAGTGTATTATTGAAAATCCAGCGGCTTCTTTGCTCATCTTTTTAAAAGAAAGGAGGGAGTATAGCATGTAAAAGAAATGCAACAGTTATCACAATCATTTATAAGATATATAGACTAATGGGGGAATAATGTACAAGTGAAATTCTACTGACCCCAAAATGTAATTATACTATAATTCCTGATCACCTTTGGGGCTCAAGTCTATGCGACTGCATCTGCATATGCTTACCTTTTTTTCTTTTGTGGTATTTCCTCTATATTCTTTTTCTCTTATTTTCTTCTTCTCATCTTTGTATGTTTTTTATATGATTTGTGGTTGTTATTGAGTATTACTCATCTGGACACATTGGGGTTGATTTACTAAAGGCACATAGACTTTGCACCTTGCAAGTGCAGTTGTGGTCATTTTCCTCAGAGTTTAGGGAATATGATGAAGGTTTGTGAAGAATACCCACTCAGGTGCAAGGAAATTAAAAAAAAAGAGTATTTTTGCTTGCACATGTTTGGATAATGGATATCATCACAGCTTCACTACATGTACTAAGCTGTGTGGAAAAATTAGTGTAACTGCACTTGCAAAGTGCACAGTCTATTTGCCTTTAATAGATCAAACCCATTGCCCGTGGTCTACATCTTCTATGCTGTTGTACTAGTTTTGCAGTGTGTTGTTATATACACCCACTGGTCACTTTATTAGGTATACCTGTTCAATTGCTTGGTAACATAAATTGCTAATCAGTCAATCACATGGCAGCAACTCAATGCATTTAGGCATGTAGATGTGGTGAATAAAACTTGCTGAAGTTCAGACCGAGCATCAGAATGGAGAAAAAAAGGAGATTTAAGGGACTTTGACCATGGCATGGTTGTTGGTGCCAGACAGGCTGGTCTGAGTATTTCAAAAACTACTGATCTGCTGGGATTTTCACACACAACCATCTCTAGGGTTTACAGATAATGGTCCAAAAAAGAAAATATCTAATGTGCAGTTGTGTGGACAAAAAAGGAAATGATCCTAGAAAAATAAGGATCTTCAACAGCACACGTAATTGGATGTTGATACTACTTAAGCTCTATGTCTCATGTTAGGGCATTCTTCTGCATTGAAAAAGGTTTCTATGAGGTCCCGAAACATCAACCCGTGATGCTTTAATAGATCAATCCCATTGCCCGTGGTCTACATCTTCTATGCTGTTGTACTAGTTTTGCAGTGTGTTGTTATATACACCCACTGGTCACTTTATTAGGTACACCTGTTCAATTGCTTGGTAACATAAATTGCTAATCAGCCAATCACATGGCAGCAACTCAATGCATTTAGGCATGTAGATGTTGTGAATAAAACTTGCTGAAGTTCTGACCGAACATCAGAATGGAGAAAAAAGGAGATTTAAGTGACTTTGACCGTGGCATGGTTGTTGGTGCCAGACAGGCTGGTGTGAGTATTTAAAAAATTACTGATCTACTGGGATTTTCACACACAACCATCTCTAGGGTTTACAGATAATGGTCCAAAAAAGAAAATATCTAATGTGCAGTTGTGTGGACAAAAAAGGAAATGATCCTAGAAAAATAAGGATCTTCAACAGCACACGTAATTGGATGTTGATACTACTTAAGCTCTATGTCTCATGTTAGGGCATTCTTCTGCATTGAAAAAGGTTTCTATGAGGTCCCGAAACATCAACCCGTGATGCTTTTTGCCTTATGTGAATAAAGGACAAGATTATCACTATGCCAAGGTGTGCTGATAAATATAATTATTTTCCTATGATTGCACAGTGGTGCAAACCACCAATTCACTACAGAACACTACATGCATTGTGGGCAAGCCTGTGAGGAATGCAACGGATACAAAACAATACAATTTCTCTGTTCTTGATCCTGTCACTGGTAAGTTGTCACCGATAACTGTAACACTTTGCTGAAAAGGGCCTAACAGTTTACAGGACTACTGTATAATAGCTGTGTAGAAGACTGCCTAAAAAAACATTACCTGCCCTTATGAGTCATAGTGATACGCTTGCTTGGTCTGATTTCCACTCCATTCCTAAACCACTTGCCAGTGACCTTTTCATCAGACACCTCACATTTGAAGATAGCTTGATCTGTTGCTTTTACAGTCAGGTCAGCGATGTCTTGTATGACTTCCAGCTGCTTCTCTGCAGGTTGTAAGCAAATATCGTGAGTTTATTGGAAGGAGATCTGTATAAGGCTTGTAATATTTACAAAGGCACCAAAGTTATGAATCTAAAGATACAGCAAAGATGAAACCTGTCCTTGATTTTTTAAAATTTCGAGAAACTTCCAACCATTTCACCTTAACCCTTAATCTTTCAATGTATGTTACCTTGACAGGTGGCTGAGGTTAGGCTGTGTAAAAGAAACAAGACACTTACATTCTAATGCGGTAAATAGCTTTTGTGTTAATTAAAACTAAGCCATCTACAACTTAAAGGACCTTGCTCCCTAAATAGTAAGGTCTGCTTATTTAGTTAGGGCCTCCTCCTTCACCTTAATTTGCTGCACTAAACTGTCAAAAAACAGCTATGGGGGCAAAACACTTAATTAACATGTTTGCCTTACTCCGATGTTACCCAAAGTGCCTAGGTAAGGGTTTGCATCACCATCCTTCCAGCAAGATTCAAGGGAATGTCGAGTAACCCAGATCTCGTAAGTAGACGCTACTGCACTGAGTTGTAGCGTCATTCCGTTGATATTTCTCATACCCGGCATCCCCCACGCTTTTGTCAGAAAGATGGTGACAGGCCTAAACCACAGTAAAAATCTTACTTATTTGAGGAACCAGCATCTATGTCTCCTGTACTTCTCATTTGCATTATGTAGTACATCACTATTCTAGAAATGCATTTAGCATTAAAGCGGCATATTATATGAGCCATAGATAGTAGCAGGAAAAAAATAATACAGGCTGTAGGAGTCTAAATAGAGAGATCCATTTGCCACTAAACCCTTACCAACATGTAATCTTTGGGTAGGTCAAAGTTTTTCTCCCCAACAGAAACCAGATTAAAGGATCAATTTACAAAGTTGTTGAAGTTTTTTTTCTCATCTGTTATTTTCTTGTACTACTCCGTACATGGCTCATATTTCTAAGGATAGGGTTTACAGAGGTAAATAAATATGCTTTATTAGAAGACTGTCAGTGTCATTTTACCAGTCGCACCATTTATAACAAAATCAATGTATAAGTCAAAAAAAAAAAACTGCCCAAGTTACCACTGCCTATTGAGAAAACATAAAAAGAAGCAATCTGAGGTAGAGATGTGTATCTATGTCTACTTATCTAGATCTAATTTTTGTTGTCGGTCTAGTTATTTGTATGTCACCAAACCTGATAAAAAGACGTAAGTATTCTTAAAATGTGCATATTAGCCAAGACCCTTCATACCTTCAACTATAAGGTCAGCTTCACACTTTCCTCCATTGGTCATCACTTGATATCGGCCACTATCTTCTTTTGTAGATTCATTGATAATTAGAATGTGTTTTTTTTCAGTCTTCTTGAATCGATATTTGAAGGTCTCTTCACGAGTTAACTCTACTCCATCTTTCATCCTAGTCAAGAATGAAATAGATGCCCACATATGAACTTTAAACACTTTGCTTAACAAGTTGATTGGCTACAGTGACTTGATTGACAGTGATTGGAATCTTAGAAAATGCCACTTATCCGATTCATGAGAATAATGTTTGGGAAAGAAGTTAGCAAAATGAACATACCACATAACTTGGGCTCCCTCTTCTGACACTTCCACTTCCATCTCTACTTTGTCTCCCACAAATACTTGCTGATCTTCAAGTGGTTTTATGATTGTTACAGGAGGCTCTGTATAGAATCATTTTGGTTATCTGGTTATCACAGGCATGGATATGAATGTAAAGCTGTTACTTCCTATATACAATAGTGGAATAAAACATATTGGTGTAAAGCATGCGTTTGTTCTGTGCAGATGCCTGTTCCATAATGTACCATAAATAAAATATACAACAAAGTGTCCCACCCCCTCTAAAAGTCTGCAGGAGATATGTATGATTGGAAACAAAGCAAAGAGGTCTTACCATTATTGTCTCCAATAATTCTAAGAAAGTTTTAGGTAGTTTAAAGTATGTCTAAGCATTGCTAAAATGTACCCCCCCTTCCTTTTGGAGCATGCCCAAACATTCCTTTTTTACCTTGATCCTGTATTGGGAAACATATTTTATACTCCCTTTGATACCATCACCAGGTTTGTAAAATTCTAACAGTGGCAGCTGCTAGAAGGTCAGTTCCTATCTATATTAGCTCATCCCAAAGAACCATTTTCCTATACACATTGTGTGGGCAGGTTCTTGGGAGTAAAGGCAGCACTTTTTTTTTACAGGGAACAAAATCATTGGATGCATGTTGGGTGGGACAGAAATGGGGGTATTCTGGGGTCCAACAGGCAGGGTTTGTAGTGCTGCTTGGGATTACAGTGCAATGAAGACACTTTGTTGGCAGCTCAAACAAAAGGAAAAAAAACACTGGAAATTATGCATATACTGCATAGATGTCATAAATGTTTTTTTTTGCCCTGATGTAAACTTTAATACTTTCACAAATAATGAAAACATAACATTGTATACTTGTTCCTGTATACACGGTTAGTGATGAAGCCTTTTATACTATTCTCTGCCTTATCTTTATATTTGTACCTATGTAGTGCATATACTATTGTCATCTTTGTATACATCTGTATGGCAGTAAAACCTCTTAAAAAAAAGGCATTCCTTAAAAAAGTAATCTTTTTCAGTGACTTACCACCCCACATTTAATTATTTCCATGGACAAGTAGGGGCTGTAAGGGAACTAATTCCTGACACAAACAAGAATGTATAGCAACTCTATCACAAGTGGTATCAAAGCCTTATCACTTTCAGATTTTATTTTGTGAAAAAAACTAAGGGGACTGATATACCAACTGCTGGCACGAACAATATTTATGAGTCCTGATTTCTGATACACAGAACAAGGGAAATGTAAGGATATGTATCCATAATCCCGCATCATGTTTACAGCATGTTCCCCCCTCTGGGCTATTCCTCATAGGAGACACTATAAGATCTATATAGGAGATCAGAAATGTCTGTGACTATTGACTATGCCTGGCATTTTGGGATGTCTCAAATGTCCACTGGAATCTATAGCTACTGCTTTAAAATCTGAGGTGCTGACATTTAAAATGTGTGATTTTTTATGATGAATAATTACAGTATATGCAAACAGTAATGCACCTTTGCAGATCCAAGGCACATTAGTTATACTGCAAAAGTTTGTATGATCATACTACCATTGATTTTTACCCATTTATGAACTTTAATACAAAAAAGTTTACCTTTGACAAAAAGCTCGGTGTAACATTTCTCATCTCCAATGATGCATTCATAGGTAGCATCATCTGCCAGAGTACATTTGTTAATGGTCAGTACCCTCTTTAGGCCAACATTCTCAAACACAAATCTATAACGATACAATTGTTTGTTTAAGAGAAAGGAGTAGACATATCAAATTTGCAAATATAAACTCAGTTTTCCACGTACAAAGAAACTATGACCACTTGATATTTTGAAACTTAAATATTTTGCCATCTGTCAACTTGACATGTCAATTTTGGGCTACATGCAAACAACATAAATACAGGTGTATGACCATACAGCATAAAATATGCCTGTATTTACCGACCACCTTTCAGCGTACACTTTGCATTTTTCTCAATTAGTGCAAAGTGTTTTCTAATTGGCTGAGGTGGAGTGATGATATCACAATCTTCATCTTGTCCAATCAGAGAATGCTTTGCATTCATTGAGAAAATGCGACATGTTCTCTAAATGGCATCCATGCTGAGCAAGTGACCTTTTGTGTTCACTAGACATCAGGGCAGCTGCTCAACACAGGACTCGGAGGCTAGCTGTGATCACTCTAGCACGATACCCACTACAGTGATTTTCAGCTTCCACAGCCATTATCTAGGTATGGCACATGCTTACGTACATTGGTCCAAGCTGAACCAATGTAACTTAGCAAAAATATTCCTATCTAAATGACAGCTTTAAAAGCTTAAAAAGACTGATAGGCTCACTTTCAGTGAAGTCATTAAAGATCTCATTTTTCTAGTAAGTACAATCCCAACTTTTAAAAGGAATTATCTAATATGCTGCATAACTATTAGTTCCAGCATTAGGCACCTACAGTATTCAGTATCACTGTGACAAGGTGGTTGTTCCATAACTAGCACGTAGCCTGAGAGTTTGGAAGCAGAAGCTTCCATCATTGGCTTCTCGGACAGGTGTTATACCCTTTAATAGGTTTACTATTTATGTTTTTTTTTTGATCAAGCAAACATATTTTGTATATGAATATTTCAAAAATTAACCTAGTATCTCAGTATGCCTGATGTTCTAAAAAATAGACCTGAATAGTATCAATGTGCAGAAAATCATAAACAGACTTTCATTACTAAGAAGAAAATGATCAGTTTAGTGAGTAAGAAGTTTTTTTTTCTTGTCTAGATACGAACTGAGTCTCATTTGCATTTTACAAACTTCTTAATCACTGTGCCCTTCTCTTTTCTAGCTTAGAGGGCTGTCTAAATCAGGGTTTCTCAACCAGGGTTCCTCCAGAGCAGGGGTAGGCAACCTGAGAGCTGCAGGACTACAAGTTCCATCATGCCTCTGCAAGTCATAGCTGTAACTGTCAGTTTTGTAATCTTTGCAATGCCTCATGGGAAATGTAGTTCCACAACAGCTAGTGAGCCTCGGAAACCACTAAGCAACTTATTCACTCCCTTGTTATATCTCACTTTGACTATTGTAACTCCCTCCTCATTGGCCTACCTCATCGCAGGCTATCCCCTCTTCAGTCTATCATGAATGCTGCTGCCAGACTCATCCACCTTACTAACCGTTCTGTATCTGCCATCCCTCTCTGCCAATCCCTCTACTGGCTTCCCATTGCCCAATGGATAAAATTCAAAACACTAACAATAACATATAAAGCCATTTATAACTCTGCCCCAAATTACATCACCAATCTTGTCTCCAAATATCACCCAAACCGTATTCTCTGCTCCTCGCAAGACCTCCTACTCTCTAGCTCCCTTGTCTCCTCCTCCCATGCTTGTCTCCAAGACTTCTCCAGAGCTTTCCCCATCCTCTGGAACTTTCTAGCCCAATTTATCAGACTATCGCCTACTCTGCTCACTTTTAGGCGATTTCTGAAAACCTATCACTTCAGGGAAGCCTATCTTGCCCTCAGCTAATACTGGAATCTTCTACTCTTCCAACCAGTCCATCCCCCACAGTTACTACCTTTTGTACCACTAGCCCCTTCCTCCTAGATTGTAAGCTCCAAGGAGCAGGGCCCTCAAATCCCTCTTGTTTTGAACTGTATTGTTAATGTATTGTCTCCCGTTATATTGTGAAGCACTGAGCAAATTGTTGGCGCTATATAAATCCTGTATAATAATAATAATAGAGAGCCGCAGGTTGCCTACCCCTGCTCTAGAGGTTACTATGGGTTCCTTGAGCAATGAGCATTTCTGCCTCTCAGATACTTTTCCACTGACACCACTGATCTTTTTATCTAAACACGTCTAAATGCGCTTAAACACTAGGTACAATTAGTGTTTGAGCATTCATTCAATGGCCAAAATAAACCAATATTCTGGCCAATGGAATAAATGAACAGCCGAACGCTTGATACATCTAAATGAATTTGCAAAATTAGGCTTTTTTTAAGCTGTTTCTTTCATGCTAGGAGAAAAGACGTTAAGAGATGCAGTGTGCACAAGGCCTTAGAAATACATTTTATTTGCATACTGTCCCTGCATGACACGTTTCTTAACTAGAAGTTAAGATATACTCAGTCAGATTTAGAAGCAGATTTATTGTTACTTACTTTGCACTAGGCTTGATCTCTTGACCGTTCCTAAACCATTTCACTACAGTATCAGGGTTTTCAACCTCCACAAACATTTTGATCCTTTGGCCTTTGTCCACTGAGTAGCAAGGATCCAGTTTCTTTGTAAATGCTTGAAAACAGGAAGTAGAAAAACGTATTATTATGTTTCAATCAGAATATCTGTTTTTGGTAGTTTTGTGTGATATGTCTAAAAACGTCTCTGTTTTTGTGTGTTAGGATATAATTTTAGGCATTTTGAAATGCACATTTTTTCTGATGTGTAGAGTTGGAAGATGTCATGATAGTATCTAAGATTATTGATGAGCAAATTCTGTAAAGCTTGTTTTGCATGATTTTTCGCCAAATAGTGCAAAATGTCCTACATTTCATTCAAATAGCATTGATGTCTGTGGGGTGAGGGTGCAAATCTTCCTAGTCAATTCTGGCCATTTGTGGGGGTAATAGGCAATGTTATTTCAGTTCCAAAAAAGAAACTGATTAAGTTTCTTTTTTTTAAATTAAATTGAGCTGTTCATTACACCGTGTTACCAGTAATAGCTATCCATTTTCGTGTTAAATTTATATACAGTATATGAAGCATATTCTGATTATTATACAGCTAAAAAAGCCATATCTACTACATACACTATATTGTCAAAAGCATTGGGCTATTGGGACTCCTGCCTTTACATGCACATGAACTTTAATGGCATCCCAGTCTTAGTCCGTAGGGTTCAATATTGAATTGGCCCACCCTTTGCAGCTATAACAGCTGCAACTCTTCTGGGAAGGCTGTCCACAAGGTTTAGGAGTGTGTCTATGGGAATGTTTGACCATTCTTCCAGAAGAGCATTTATGAGGTCAGGCACTGATGTCAGATGAGAAGGCCTGGCTCGCAGTCTCCGCTATAATTCATCCCAAAGGTGTTCTATCGGGTTGAGGTCAGGACTCTGTTCAGGCCAGTCAAGTTCCTCCACCCCAAACTCGCTCATCCATGTCTTTATGGATCTTGCTTGTGCACTGATGTGTAGTCATGTTGGAACAGGAAGGGGCCATCCCCAAACTGTTCCCACAAAGTTGGGAAATTGTCCAAAATGTCTTTGTATGCTGACACCTTAAGAGTTCCCTTCACTGTAATTAAAGGGCCAAGCCCAATCCCTGAAAAACAACCCCACACCAAACTTTACACTTGGTACAATGCAATCAGGTAAGTACCATTCTCCTGACAATTGCCAAAACCCAGACACGTCCATCAGATTGCCAGACAGAGAAGCATGATTCATGATTGTATTTAATCACCACTGGGTTTTTTTTTTAGCTACATAAATGAAAAAAGCCCCAACATTTTTGGGAAAAAATCGTTTTTCTTTGTTTCTGTTATAAAATTTTGCAAATAAGTAATTGTTCTTCATACATTCAGGCCAAAATGTATTCTGCTACATTTCTTTGATGAAAATATCCCAAATCAGTGTATATTATTTAGTCTGTAGGAAAGTTATAAAGTCCACAAATTATGGTATATACTGTATCTGAAAATCGATCAATCCTGATGTACAAACGACCTCTCATTTCTTGAGGTCCAGAAATGTCTAGACAATACAGATATCCCCCAAATGATCCTTTTTTGAAAGGTATACAGTCCAAGGTAATTAGCAAGAGTCATGGCAAGTATTTTGAAGTTGTAATGTTTTGGTTGCATGCTTTTGGAAAATGAAGAGATATGTTATTTTTACATACTGTCACTAGTGTAATAAAGCGTCATCATATGACTGGTGTGGCTGTGATCAGGGACACTAAATGGTGACAGTATTATTATTAATAAATTAATAATTTGTTAAAAAATAATTTTTCTTCTTTTTTAAATTTTTTTTTTTTTTTTTTTTTAAACACACTGTGACCAGAGCAATATATTGTTATCATAGTAACTGTGTACTACTCTGGGGAAGTAATCAGGATTTTTTTTCCACATTATGATTGCTTATAGCAGTGAATTTCACTGCTACAAGCAAGCATTTTACTGAATGAAATCGATTCATTCAGTGTTTTTTGTAGTGATTAGCTGTAATTGGCTACAGGTAATCACATGGTACAGCTGTGATTGGCCCTGTCTGTACCATGTAATCGCGGTGACCAATCACAGCTAGTAAAACAATTGTATGCAATGAATGGCATGAATCAAAGCCATTAAATAGTAGCAATAATGGTGTGACCCTCCTGCGCTCCAAATGTGTGTTAAAATAATAAAAAATATATAATAAAAGAACCCCAAACAGCTGCTAGCATTAAATCATATACCAATGATCAAGTGAATATAAACCATAAAAATGCTGCGCTACATTCAAACTAATTAAAGTAAATGTGGAATTCAATATCTCAAGAGAAATATTAACAATAATAATAAATATAATTGTAAATGTGCTTAGTGATAAACACAAAAAAAAGTGATGGCAAAAGCACAAAACTTAAATCAATACGCATGTGCAAAAAAATGCACATACATATATTACATCACACGTGCAAAAAAAAAACGTGTATTATTTAGATATATTTCACTTCACATTTTTGCACGTGTGATGTAATATATGTATGTGCATTTTTTTGCACATGCGTATTGATTTAAGTTTTGTGCTTTTGCCATCACTTTTTTTGTGTTATCACTAAGCACATTTACAATTATATTTATTATTATTGTTAATATTTCTCTTGAGATATTGAATTCCACATTTACTTTAATTAGTTTGAATGTAGCGCAGCATTTTTATGGTTTATAAAGCCATTAAATGTTTACAATTGTTGTGTGATCTGCTGTGATTGGTCAGGTACACTGATCAGTCAGGACACAGCCGATGACAGATTGCACCTCAGCGCGGCCACACAGTCAGAACAGTGAAAGTCCCGCCCGGCTGTCAATTTGCTATAGGCCGGATGGGAAGTGGTTAAGGTAAGTTGCACTTTGAATGGACATTTTCTCCGGAGTTTAGTAAATGAGGAGAAGCTCTGCTGACTTCCAACATCCAATCATATGCAAGCAAGAATTTGTTTTTAATTTTCTCGACCCGCACAGGGTCAAAACACATTTTTTTGCAAACTTTGTAGAGTTAGGACCACAGAATATCGGGGTGCCGTGATGTGGCTCTGTGGCTTACATAATTGGCCAAATTTTCATATCCTCCTGGAGAGGAGGTCTACTACCAGTAAACCTACACTTGAGGGGAGAGCATTGTGGGGAGAGTGACAAGTTTCCAGAGGATTTCCACACATGGAGGATCCTTTGTAGAGATCCTAAAAGTGTTTTAGCATTGTGCGGGTTGAGACAAGGAGGTGAGCGTGAATGGCAGCTAATTTTGGATACCTTCTTGTCACCTGGCACACTTATCATCCACCGTCAGGAGGGTTTTTTCAGCGAATAGAAGTTATGGTGTTTTTTCATCACACTGGACACTTTATTTGCATTTAATGTTTAGCAAATGCACTTTAGTGTCATGCATTTTTTCTGCTGATTTTTGTATGCACGTTATGTGATCATTTGTATTTATCATCACACATGCATCGTTTAGGTGCGTTATGTAGTATTTGTGTTTCACATTGTTTGGGATTTGTGTTGATTGGGGGAATCATTTTATGCAGCAAGTGCATTTTGGGTTTGTCAGCACTTGAGCACTATTGGTGCTTAGTCCCATTTGGACTCTGTTTAAAGGTTTTTTTTTCTTTCTTTCCCATCACTTTCGGATCCACTTTAGGATCATTTTGGGGCACAATTGATACATTAGTCCCATTTGGACTTTTCTTGGTACACTAATGATTCATTAGGATTATTTCACACACAGCTGTGTGAACATTTTCGGCACTCTATAGAATTAGTTTTTATTATTGTTGTTTCACATTTAGGGGTTATTCACTTTATCATCTGACCTCTTTATAAAGGCAGGGTCGGAGAGGTTTTACCACTTTGCTTGGTTTGTTTACATTTATGTTGTTTATTTAGCTTATGATGTATTGTTATACTATTTCTATATGAAGCATCATATTTTATTTGTATTTGTGATTGTGCTTTTCACATTTCTCACTACTGGTTTGCAATATTCACGTATAGATCACCAGGTAAATGATTGGATGTTGGCAGCTGTACCTTCATTCTCTTTAATATTAATATATTTTTTAGGGACTTAGATAGGAGCGCAGGAGGTACTTCACTCTTATTAATGTTCTATTTTAGCTCTACTGCTAAATTCAACACACAAAACTGAAATTACATTTTTGTATAGATCTTCTTCTGAATATATAATATAATATGATGCACATTTCAATTACAGATCTCATAATGAATGCCTAACTGTTCACTATCCCCCACTCCGTAAGATATTTACAGATGTTGCAGAAGCAGCTTTCCTTTCATGTTTAAAAGCCAGAATATGCTTCAAACATATTAATTCACCAATAGGGACAGGTAGCTGTTGATCATAACACCATGAATATCTAAAATGAGTCACTTTAGAAAGCTGGGTAAAGGGTGCACACAGCATTATGGATGCTTGTAAAAATTCACCAGGGCTGTTCCCCCCAAAAAACTGCCCATGAGCTCAAACTCAAATTTGCTGCAAGTTCAGCTTTTGATGAATCAAACCTTATCCCTATCTAAGTGTAGTTTCTTGATCACCAGGTAGTGACTTCATAAATACTTTGCTAAAAGACATAGGCCTGGGCATATACATATATAGTTACATTTGAATTGGCTAAATAATTTGCAACCTGAGATCACCCAGAGTACAGGGAGCGTAGTCATCTAAGGTAGAAAAGTAGTATTTCACTGTACAGTGTGATGAAGTTTGGCTTTCCAACCTATGGGAAAATTCCTGATCTTGGCATTTGCAATGCTACAGGTTGGATGTGGTGTATGGTTATTTGGGGCACCTGCTTCTGGGGGCAGTCGAATGTAATGACTGGAGAAGCAGTGTGCATGTGCAGAAGGATCTCTCTTATACATGAACTGTTGAGTCTAGTTGTGGTTCTCTGGTCATAGTAAATTTCAGAAGTCCTGAGGTCCTTCAGTTGTACCAAGCAGTGAAGAGGGCAGTAAATGGCATTTTCCCTACATGGTGTGTCTCACAGTTATAGGGCGGTATTCAGAAATTATAGCTGGATTGTCACCCAAAGTATAGCTGACTTGTGTTGTAGGAAACATGTATGCCTTCCCTGTGTGTGACACAGTCATAGGTTTCCATCCATTATGTTCATTAACCAAGTAAATATTTATCAGTTTTAAATGCCATTTTGATAGTCAAAAACAACCTAAATATCAGTAGACATCAATATTTCACCATCAAGTAAACATCAGCACAGCTACTTATAGCAATCAGGCACTTCAGCTGGGAGATTCTGCACCCGATCCATGGTCTATCCAACTGTTGAGGAGATTATGGGGAAATGTACTAAAACAGGAGAGTGCAGCTCTGTAGGGAAACCAATCAGCTTCTAGGTTTTACCGTCAGAGCCTAATTAAACAAGCTGATGTTAGAAGCTGATTGGCTACCTGAACCAGATACTAAATGCTCCAATTTTGGTAAATCTCCCCCTATAAGTCAATATGGGTCACACTGTCTCGCATTCTCACACTGGATTATTTTTTTTATATTATAGTATGAAATATGCAGCAGTGGATTCCACATCTGCAGCAGAAAGAAAAAGCTTTCCAAGTGCAAGTCAACTAAACTGGAAACCTTGTAAGGCAAAGTCTCTACTGTAGTCCAGAAGGTCAGTGTGAGATTTAGCAGATTGTCATCTACTCACACATGAAATATTAATTTGGGTAGACTTACCCATATGGAATATATGTAAAAAAAAATCTGAAGGATACATTTAAAAACATATATATTTTTAAAAATATATATTTTAAAAAAATATATTCTTCAGATTTTTCTAACATAAAAATGTCATTTTAACATATATTTTTACATATATTTGTAAATGCACTCCAAAAATGTAGATTTGTATTTTTAAAGACATCCAGTATATTTGAAATGTATTTTAAAAAATATTTTTCAAATATTTTGTAATAAAAATGCATTTAAACATACAGTATATATGTGTATATATATATATATATATATATATATATATATATATATACATTTATTGAAATATATTGAATATGGCCAAAATTGTAGCATTTCAAATTTGTGTCAATGTATTTGGGCATAATATTTTAAAAATATATTTTAAATATATTTTTTTTCCATGTGGGTAACCTAGGCCTCATGCACACTACAGCTCCTAAACTGACGTCTTTGTGAGTTTTTTTTCTGCTCCTGAACTCCTCTCTTTATTATCCTATTTGTCCATGCACACATAGACACTTACAGCAGTTTAGTAGCAGGGGACTTTAGAAGATGTTTTCTGAATACCCTAAAATGGCATTCAGGAGAGGGAATTTTGACTACAAAAAACACTGAACCCTGCTAAACCTGTCTACATGTGCCTAAGCGCTAGGTGCGTTTAGCACTTCAGCGTTTATTCATTTCAAAGGCCAGAATAAATAAAAATTCCAGCCTAAGAAATAAATAAAGGCCCAAACATAAAACTGTGCTAAACTGGTTTGAAAAAGTCTTAATGCTGATTTTCTCCTGTCAGGAGAAACAGTGATTACAATACATCAGTGTGCATGAGGCTTTATCCATTCTGTATGACTATACTAGTGATATTTTTGCTTCACTTTACATGTTTTTAGCCACTGCCTGAATATCTAAAAAGCAAGCAAATAATGTGCATATTCTCAACATCATTGTTCTATGTTTCATTATGAGATGTAAATGAATAAACTAGTTAAGTTGTGCATGCATTATGTCGCATGGAAAATTTTTTATGATTGGTTATATTACCTGCACTTTTTTTAATTTCAACTTTTACTTTCTTCAGACGCTTCAGCATGCCTCTTAAGTCAGTCACACCATACTGAAAGCAAATTTTTTCATATTCGCTTGGTTTGGCTTTCTTCAATATTTCCCAGACATCTGGAGGAATTCCCTCTGGTTCCTCTTCTTTTTTTTCTTCTCTTCCCTAAGATCCAAAACAATATTCTGTGTAATACACCTGAATACTTAGGAAATCATTTGAAACTTGCGAACGTGTTAGAGAAGCATTAGTAAAATTATACGTCAGACAGTTTCTAGCTTTTAATTGCTGCTTTTCTTAATGTCATTGGCACAATTTACAAGTTCAAAATGGATTCTGGTACCTTTATTAGAGTTAATAGGTGTCTGAATCTATAATACACTGATTACTAAATATATCAAGCTATTATTATTTATGTTTTAATTGATATGTCAATTCACAGTGAAATAATGTCTTTTGGTACTTAGATCAGTGCAGTCATCAATAAAACACAAATTAAACTTGACATGTCTGCATTAAGCGCATTTATGAACGTCTTATTTTTTCTATTCATACCTCTTCTTGAGTAATGCACTGAAGTCGAGCTCACCAGCATTTTCATCCTTTTGTTCACCTCTACAAGCATTAAAACATTACATTTGTTAGAATACTATTTTGGATCATCTGTACATATGAACTTTTTTTTTTCTAACTTCTCCTAATGTGACATGTGCCCCTCTCTAACATGTTTTCTGAGCTATATTTTGGATTCTTACTCCTACATTGTTTATGTCTCTGAATACAAGTAATCAATCCAAAAGTCAAAAATGCAAAAGGTAACTCTACTTTTCTGGCGAACAAAATAGCAAATAAAAAATATAGCATATTCAACTGCTTTATTCCTTCGCCTGCGCATTGACGTCACGCTGCCGAGGTCACGTGAAGGTCCGGCAACCACCTTAGTGAGTTGTTTTATAATTGTTTGTTTGTACTCTCCACGTGGATACTCTTTACCTTTAATAAAGTACTACACTATTAGCCAATTTTCTTTGGCTCTTTTGTGAGCTAACTCCTCAGGATTTCTCATTGCGGTTTGCATGCTGCTTGGTGTCATCATCTCTATCTGAGATCATCCTGGCCTTCATGGTCCTATGGCTGAAGGGTGGGCTACCTGACTTACCTGGGGAAGAAACCAGCTGTTCATGTGCATTTTATATGCGCTTCTGGTGAGTGAATATAAAGGAATACTTTTTCACGGATTCACCAGCACTGAATGTCACCTGTTCATGGATTTATTTTCTGGACTTTTTTATAACTATTGTTTATATCGCAATTTTGTCATTTAATATATGTTCACCATCAGTCATTATTCATTTTATATCACCCAACGCTGGCCATTCAGTGTCATGGATACCATCACCACAGTTATCAGTATATTAATTATTGCTATATCAATAACTCATGAACTCTCACACTTTAGACTGGTAGCGCTGATCAGAGTGTCTCACTGTGTCTGCTTTTTAATATTGCTGCTATTTGTTCTAATGCTGCTTCTATTCAACCTTATCATCATTTATTATTTATTTATATATGTGCACATGTTTTAGATGTATTTCATTTGATTCATTTACTTTAGCGCTGCACCTTTTATATTTCATTCACTAGTGAGGATACCAAGGGGGGTCCTTTAGTGTCAGCAGCTTATACCTTTCTACACACCCATTGCGCTCACTGACACCCCATGTACATTAACCCCCCTGGCGGTATTCCCGAGTGTAGCTCGGGGTAAAGTTGCAGTACCAAAAGCGGTAACCCCGAGCTACACTTGGAAAATACCATGCGGCGCTGCATGTCCCTCCTGCAGCATCCCCTGTAATGTACTCCGGCGGATGCCGGCATCTGTCATCTGGGTTCCGTCCCCTGTGAGCGTCGGGACGTACAGGAGGACGGAACGGCGGGAAATTTGAAAATGAAATTTTGTGACATTCACTAATACACTAAAATAACATAGTAAAACATTACTGTATCAAGCCATTTCACATACATTTTGTCCCTAGTGTTTTGTCCTGTGCCCTGCCTGTCCATGGCATCCAAAAAGCATCCCTTTAAGTCAAAAGCGGTTTTAGACCAGCTAGAGAACAGCGATAGTAAATCAGAACCACTTGCAGAATTGAGTGATAATGATTCGTGGGGGAAATTCATCATCAGACACTGAAAACGATTTTGCGACTTTGCTCAGCGATGTGCGAACTTGGTGATATATTTCAAATTTCAGTGTTTTTGGTTTGATTATATTATTGAATTAAATTTATTATTATTATATTATTATTTTTTATGCTAATTTATTAAATTATAATTTATGATTTTGTGTTTCAAATTTTAACATACCCGGGACATTTACTAGAGACTAGACTCTTGTTCGGACAGCTTTCAGTGAGTTATTCCTAAAAATTACAGGCCTACAATAAAAAAAATACATATTTCCATGCAAAAAAATGTACCGCTTTGAGCACAAATATATGGACATAATCAGACCGCTAGGGAGGTTAATAAAAAGCACTGACACTGTACTAATGGCACTGGGCAGGAAGGGGTTAACATGTGGAGCGATCAAAGGGTTAACTGTGTGCTGTTTTACTGTGTGTTGTCTGTGTGCTTTACACTGTAAGCACACTGCTTTGTATGGCTCTGCTATACAGAGCCATACAAAGCAGTGTGCAAGAGCTGACAGGGGAGAGATCTGTGTTGTTTATACACAGGTTTCTCCACGTCGGCACTACTCGGAGATCGCTAAGTGCCAGCGATTGAAAGCCGAGGCAGCGAATAGCGGCACGGGTAGGGTGCGTGCGTGCCCCCACCCAAAACTGCAAAAATTTATATATATATATGTGATTTTGCGCACCCGTGATGCTGTGTAGCAGTATTTCTGCTATAGGGTAGGGCAGAAGCAGATAAACTGGATGGATTTCTGTCTATATTTAACCCTACCAGCTATGTTGCTATGTAGCTGACCACGTAATGCATATGTGCGGTGGCAGGGAGGTCAGGCTTCATCACCCACATGCAGCACATGCTGTATTCATTTATAGCTGCCTAGATTTCTATGTTGAAAGTGCACTCCCAACATTGTGACAGAGGTGGGAGCTCACAGGACAGGCTCCCGTGCATGTGATCATTAAATGGACTGCCAGGAGGGGAAAGGAAGGAGTTAAACTCTTTTGTAGAACTACAAACATCAGCTGTCCTTTAAGGCTTTAGCTGAGGAGAAACTGTTGGATTTGTAACTACATAAGGCATACAGGATTCATTTCAATCTGTAGTCGAAGTTCAGAGATCAATCAATCAAAACCGTTAGGACAGCTAAGCAGTTGTCTCTTGCTGCACATAGCAGGGTCTGTGATTAGCAATGATTCTAAGGTCTGCCATCAGCCCTTCTATACTGAAAACAAAACAATCTTAGCAATCTTGTTAATGGGGTCTCCCTCCTACCACAATCCCCACAGCAGCTGCATGGCTATTGTTACACCACTGTAGTTAAAATAGTAGTTAAAATGGCGCTCCACCCAAAAGAGGAAGTTCCGCTTTAAGGACTGCTCCCCCGCTCCCCATTAAGGATTGGCACCTTTGGGGGGCGGGGAGGGGGAGCGGGTACCCGAAGGTCCGGTGTCCTCCCTCCCTGTAGTCTTTTTTTAGAAGACTACAGGACCATTCATGAAGTGCAGCACTACTCGCACATGCGCAGTGGGTACCCGGCTGTGAAGCCGCAAGCTGCATAACCGGGTGCCCACATTGAAGATGCCGGCCTCCTGGAATACGGGCTGCAGGGGGGACACAACGCGGGACCGAGGGACAGGCAAGTGGCTGTTTTTTTAAAGTCAGCAGCTACAGTTTTTGTAGCTGCTGACTTTTATTTTTTGACAGGGTAAGTGGAACTCCGCTTTAATTACAAAGCTTTAGGTTAACATTTAGTCCTCATGCACACTGGACATTATTACAGCGGCTGTTTTTGGCTTTTGGAATTTTTATTTACAGCCAGTAAATTCCCCAGCATGTTATCCTATGTGTCCATGCACACAAAGGCTTTAATCAGCGTTTTTTCACAGACATTTTTTTTGGCTTTAAAAAAAACAATGTTAAAACACTGAAAAAAGAGCATTTTTTTGGACTTTTTTCGAGCAAAATTTTTTGCATGTGTTAAAAAAACACAAACGCGGAAAAACAGCCAAACGCTACTAAACACTAATGCAAAAACACTAAAACTTTACACTGCTAATGCTACCCGGCGTTATTAAAAAATGCTGAGTGAGCCTTATAGGTCTGTACTATTAATAATTATAATAACAATAAAAACAGAAAAACAAAACAAGAAAAACAGAAAAACAAATGCTTACGTCCTCTTGAAAGATTCTAAAACACTAACATCTTCTGATGAAGCAGCTGCATAAGAAATGTAAAAAAAAATCCACCATCAGCTGTAGTTTTTGCATCTAACAAACCCAAACATTTCAAATTTCAATAGAATGTATCACCAGACAGGTTGAGTGGGTTTTAAGAACCCAAATGCCCTCCACTAAACTAGTCAGCAGGACATTAGAGCCTTCATAAAATAAAAGGTATCTTTGTGTTCCACCTCATTTTAGGATAGAGAGTGTAGCCATGCAAATCATTCCTTATGAAACAAATGGCTTCATAATATTAGACTGTATCTCTACCAGCAATTTTAGGTGCTCAGTTGGTTGGGGAAGCCAAAGCCTGCTGGCTTGTACATCACTACAGGAAGTATTAACTAGTGAGATGAACCATGGTGTTCAGTGGATCTCAGGTAGAGGACATACCAGTAAGTGTCCAGATGCTTGCTACACCCAGGAATCATCAGCACAGCGGGGTTCTTGCACATACGCAGTGTTTCAGTGTAAGTTTATTGGTAGTTATCTCCCCATAGACTTACAATAAGATTAAAGTTTCCACCTTTGCTGGGAAAAAAGAGCTGCCATATAATCTTTAATTACATTAGCATAAAGCTCATTTTTATCAGCAAAGCTGTTAAAGTACCAGCAAACATCCATACTCATCTCTGCGCCGCAGCATCAGTGGGATGCTGCAGCTGTCCCATGTTTGTTCAAAGACCGAGAACTGAGGGATCACATGACCACTGATCACTCAGTTCTCCTTCTGCTCAGATCAGAGAGCAGTGACTTTTTGTAACCTCTCTCTCCGCTCTGCTCCTGCAGCTCTACTGGAGCACTGGACTGTGGAGGCTGGGTGTGGTTGGGTGCAGTTGACTGAAAGGCAGAGCCAGCTGTCAATCAGGCAGCTGGGTGGACTCCGGCACAATTGCTGGGAATCTACTCAGAGCCTGGAATGATTCCTTCACATCAGCTGACAGTGGGCTGTAGCTCACTGTTGGCTCATTCTGAGTCACAGGAGAGCAAAAATAAGTGCACTTCTGTGACCTACAGGAGATGTATGGCTAAAAAAAGCTTTGGCTATGGTTCTCTTTTAGGCAGGAAGAAAAAGCTATATCTGCAGTTGTCATATGCAGTATGTAGCCCTTATACATTCATATATAATAAACCAAAAAGATATATCACCCCTTTTCACACCTATATGTCGCATTAATGCTGTCAGTTATGCACATGCACATGTGAGGTCCTTTGCTGTGCTAATTTTTCCAATTGGCACCCCAATACTCAAGTACACTGGGAGCTGATGAACCTTTACTGCAGTGCTACAGTTGCAAGAAAAAGTATGTGAACCCCTTGGGATTACGTGGAGTTTTGCATGAATTGGGTATAAAATGTGCTCTGAACGTCATCTAAGTCACAACAATAGAAGAACACAGTCTGCTGAACATAATACTACACAAACATTAGATGTTGCCGTGGTTTAATTGCACATAACATGTAAACATTTACAGTGCAGGGAGGAAAAAGTATGTGAACCTTTGGACTTAATAACTGGTTGACTCTCCTTTTGCAGCAATAACCTCAACCAAAAGTTTCCTGTAGTTGCAGATCAGACCTGCACAACGATATGGAGTAATTTTGGACCACTCCTCTTCACAAAACTGTTTCAGTGTAGCAATATTCTTGGGATGTCTGGTGTGAATCGCTCTCTTAAGGTCATGCCACAGCATTTCAATCGGGTTGAGGTCAGGACTCTGACTGGGCCACTCCAGAAGGCGTATTCTGTGCTGTTGCAGCCATTGTTTTGTTGAATTACTTGTATGCTTTGGGTCATTGTCCTGTTGCATCACCCATCCTCTGCGGAGCTTCAGTTGGCGGACAGATGGTCGTACATTTTCCTGCAAAATGTCTTGATAAACTCTGGAATTCATTTTCCCATCAATGACAACAATCCGTCCAGGCCCTGAGGCAGCAAAGCAGCCCCAAACCATGATGCTCCCTCCACCATGTTTTACAGTGGGGATGAGGTTTTGATGTTGGTGTGCTATGCCTTTTTTTCTCCAAACATAGTGTTGTGTGTTCTTCCAAATAACTCAATCTTGGTTTCATCTGTCCACAGTATATTTTGCCAGTAGTGCTGTGGAACATCCAGGTGCTCTTTTGCAAACTTCAAACGTGCTGCAATATTCTTTTTGGACAGCAATGGCTTCCTCCGTGGTGTCCTCCCATGTACTCCATTCTTGTTTAATGTTTTCCTTATTGTAGATGTGTCAACAAAAATGTTAGCATGTGCCAGAGATTTCTGTAGGTCTTTAGCTGACACTCTTGGATTCTTCTTTACCTCATGCAGCATTCTGCGCTGTGCTCTTGCAGTCATTTTTACAGGACGACCACGCCTAGGGAGAGTAGCAACAGTGCTAAACGTTCTCCATTTGTAGAAAGTCTGTCTTACCGTGGACACATGAACATCAAGGCTTTTGGAGATACTTTTGTAACCCTTTCCAGCTTCATGCAAGTCAACAATTGATCGTAGGTCTTCTGAGAGCTCTTTTCTGTGAGGCATGGTTCACATCAGACAGTGCTTCTTGAAACCAGTAAACCCAAAACAGGTGTGTGTTTTTTAAGGGCAGGACAGCTGTCAGCAACACATCCAATATCATCACACTGACTGGAGTCAAAGTTGGCTCACTCTTGGCTCCAATTAGCTCTGGGAGAAGTCATTAAGCTAGGGCCTCACATACTTTTTCCTCCCTGCACTGTGCATGTTTACATGTTATGTGCAATTAAACCATGGCAACATCTAATGTTTGTGTAGTATTATGTTCAGCAGACTGTGTTCTTCTATTGTTGTGACTTAGATGACGTTCAGAGCACATTTTATGCCCAATTCATGCAAAACTCCACGTAATCCCAAGGGGTTCACATACTTTTTCTTGCAACTGTATGTATGTTGCCATGTGTTAAAAAGGTGGCAGCTAATTCATATAAGTGGGTTCCCTTAGTAATGTAAAGGGGGCTTTAGGGGCCAGGTTCATGTGTTTGAGTTGTGATAATGTATGAACCCCAGTGTAGTGTGTTGGGATGTCATTTATTTTGAGGGGCACCTCAGGGCCCTACTGTAACAGTATCCACATTGCAGAGTATTACAGCGTACATGCCATACAATGAACCAAAACAAAAGTCTAGACATTTTTTTATATGTTGCATTGCACTGCTGGTCTGTCCAACACAAAATCTGAATGTGGCCTTAAAGTGTTAGCACCACATGCTTAAAAAGCTTTCAAAGACTGAAAAAATGTAATAAATGTATGTACCTTCCACATCAATATTGAAGGAGCAGCTGTCACATTTATCCTTGGAAACCACTTCACATCTGTAACCACCAGCATCTGCTGTAATTGCCTTGAGGATCTTGAGCTCAAAATGATATATCTGTGAAGAAACAGTACAGATGTTTCATATGTAAATGTGACTGCAGTCTTCTCCTTCCTTATGTGTATAGCCCAACTGCAGCCATGTTTTTATGTTTTGGATCAGGTGGAAAGACTATGTTTTTATTGCTGTGTGTCTGGAGGGGGGGGGAAATCGATTTTTAGGCCCCATGTATATGGGACACTTCTGAACGATGTAAACTGACTGCTGGAAAACGTTGGTTAAAAAACGTCTGTTTAGCCGCTTTTGCATAACGTATTTATGTGTGTTTGCGTTTAGAAGCGTTTTTTAAAGATAAGCACAGGAGAACCTCCCAAATGCCCAGAATGCACTGAAAAGTGGTAAATTATTAACTATTTCAGACTGTTTCAGAGAAATACAGAGAGTAGAAGCAGAGAGAGCAGTATGTGTTGAGATTAGCTTAGGTGTGAGTTGCTCCTTAACACTTTTTTTGTTTCCAAGGGTGGTAAAGGTGTCTGGTGGAGTGAGTCATTAAGGCCACCTGGCAGGGGGTCTTCATGAGGAATTTGAGGTGTGAATGGTCATTAACATATCTTTTGTTCCAAGGGTGGGAAGGTGTCTGGTGGAGTGAGTCATTAAGGCCACCTGGCAGGGGGTCTTCATGAGGAATTTGAGGTGTGAATGGTCATTAACATATCTTTTGTTTCCAAGGGTGGGAGAGGTCTGAGGTGTGAATTGGTCATTACAATGTGTGACAAGCTTGCTAGGAACATCCTGTGTTCAGTGTTTTGTCCATTTGAGTACCTTGAAAACGCTTTGCATGCATTTTTTCTTATGAAAAAAGCCTCTGGACAGCATCAGGAACTGGAAGAGTTAAAAAAACGAACGCTTATAAGCGCGATTTTTCACGTTTAGCCGTGTTTACAAGCATTTTGCGCTTGAAACAGTGATAAAATCAACTGCTGAACGCAAGTTTTCTGCGTTCAAAAAAACGACTGTAAACTCAAATGCCTGTAAACGACTGTAAATGAAGATGTGTACATGGACACATAGGAAAACATTAGAGTGAGTTCAGGGGCTGCTGAAAAAAAACGCTGAATAGCTCCTAAACATGAGTTTATCAGCTGCAGTGTACATGAGCCCTTAGAGTTCAATCCCCCGTGACTTCCCTGCAGCATTCCAAGCCTGTAGGAAGGGAGAGGAGGAGAAGCTGGCATCTGCAGAGACGTCATAGGAGATCAGTACTGGGGGGTGCATAAGAAAGAAGATGGAACATTTTGAAGCACAGGTGGAGCAGCAGCCCCTCTATGTGTGTATTGTGTGTTAGAGCACAGTAGGCACCCCCACCCTTAGGGCCCGTGAGCACTGCACACATTGCACCCTTGTATAATACACCACTGTGTATATCCTTTCCGCAGGGATTTACCATTGCTTCCTAATGCAAAAGTGTCAGACAGAACATAAGGAATTAATATAATGGGGACACAGACAGAAATATAAATGTTTAGCTTAAGTTGGAATTCAAATCTGATTCACAAAGGCCATGTGTAGCCAAAATGTTTTTCTTAGCTTTGGTTAGAGTAGAGAAGAGATAAAACCTGTGCAAAGTAAAGCTGGCTATAGACTGGCAGACATCAATAAACATGACAAATGGTCTAACCTTCCCTATGTTATCCAAAACTGAAAACAAGGTGTCACGGTGTGCCTGCTGTCCCTGCTCGCTGCCCCCTCCCTCCCCCCTCGCTGCATCCTCCCATCCTGCACACAGCCTTTGAAGCAGGCTGTGCAGGATGGGGGGAGGGGACCCCTGCGGCGGGGATCACAGCCCCCCGGCAATCTAGCCAGAGGAGCTGTGACCCCCCCCCAGCAGGGGGCCGCCGGGAGGTCAGTACGGGCAATGGGCTTCCCGCGCTCTGCGCCCGCCAGTGACAAATGCCGCACTCACGAGAGCGTGGCCCGAGTCAAGGGGGCATGCCTCATTGCCCCAGCATCCAACCAGCTTTAAAAGGCCGACGCAGGACTCGGCCAGTCTCTTTCTCTGCCTGCCGCCACCACTGTCGTGGGAGGTCTGGATGGGGACCGGACCTCCGCTGATGTAACTGCTGGGCACTCTGCAGGAGACCACCCCCCCAAAGGTCAGGACTATTATCCGCTGCCACCCTGCTAAATACTCCAGGGCTGGGAGTACCCGCTGTGCTGTGTGCTGGAGCTGCTTTGCTGTGGGCCCCACGATACCCTGTCTAATACTCTGGGGCCCAGATTACCCACTGTGCCTGTGTGCTGGAACTGCTTTGCTGTGGGCTCCACAATACCCTGCCTAATACTCTAGGGCCCGGATTACCCGCTGTGCTGTGTGCTGGAAATGCTTTGCTGTGAGCCCCACGATACCCTGCCTAATACTCTGGGGCCTAGATTACCCACTGTGCTGTGTGCTAGAACTGCTTTGCTGTGGGCCTCACGATACCCTGCCTAATACTTTGGGGCCCGGATTACCCGCTGTGCTGTGTGCTATAACTGCTTTGCTGTGGGCCCCCCTGATACCCTGCCTAATACTCTGGGGCCTGGGTTATCCGCTCTGCTGTGTGCTGAGGAGGTTCATCCCCCCCTTTCTGTCGCCTGCTGTGAGCCAGGACATCCCTGCCGGAACTGTGAGGGTCTGCAAGCCGCCTACCTACCTGGAAGCCGCCTGCTGCTGAGAGTCTGCAAGCCGCCTATTGTGAGTGTTCCCAGAAGCCATGAACTGCCCCTATTGTGTGCTCAGACTACCCTTGTAATGAACTGCCCCTATTGTGTGCTCAGACTACCCTTGCTATGAACTGTCCCTATTGTGTGCTCAGACTACCCTTGTTTGAACTGCCCAATGGCGTGCCCGGAGTATAGCTACCTCGGCTGCCCCCTGAGGGCTTGAGCCATCGCTACCCAAACCAGACTCCCCATAGCCAAGGTCCCTCTGAGTCCTCGTGAGTGTGATGTTGTCCCTAGAAAGCTGAGTGGGAGCTGTGCTGAGGCCAGACCCCATAGCCAAGGTCCCTCTTAGTCCCCGTGAGCCTGATGTTGTCCCTAGAAAGCTGTGTGGGAGCTGTGCTGAGGCCAGACCCCATAGCCATGGTCCCGCTGAGTCCCCGTGAGCCTGATGTTGTCCCTAGAAAGCTGTGTGGGAGCTGTACTGAGGCCAGACCCCATAGCCAAGGTCCCTCTGAGTCCCCGTGAGCCTGATGTTGTCCCTAGAAAGCCGTGTGGGAGCTGTGCTGAGGCCAGACCCCATAGCCAAGGTCCCTCTGAGTCCCCGTGAGCCTGATGTTGTCCCTAGAAAGCCGTGTGGGAGCTGTGCTGAGGCCAGACCCCATAGCCAAGGTCCCTCTGAGACCCAGTGAGCCTGATGTTGTTCCTAGAGAGCTGTGTGGGAGCTGTGCTGAGGTTAGACCCCCAGCCAAAGTCCCGCTGAGTCCCCGCGAGCCCGCTTACCGTCAATGTCCCTACAAGCCATATGTTGCAGAGTGCCATGAACTGTCCTGATTGAGTGCCCTTCATAGTCCAATAAAGCTTTGTGTGTTACCATCTTCTTTGTGCGTTCTGTCCTGCCTACGCTTCCGTCACACAAGGTTTGCCTTTACATACAATTTATAAGTATCAGTCTACACAAATACTGTATTAAACTTGGGACTAGGGGGAATGAGTCACCCCTGCCTTCTCATTTCCCTTGTGGACTCTGATGGCCAGATATACAGTACTTGCCATAGTCCCTGGAAGTGTTTCCACAGAGTAAGGGGTGCTGGATGCCGTCACTCAACTTAATTAAAAAGTAGGTACATCCCATTGAAATTGTTGACTTTTTCAACATATTTAGCCAGTCATACAGTCAATCTTCATGCAAACTGCACCTACAGATAAAGGTGATACCCAATCACCGGCCACTTTATTAAGTACACCTGTTTACTTGCTTATTAACACAAATTGCTAATCAGCCAATAACATTCTTGGCAAGGTACCCCTGCTGTTAAGGGCATGTGGCCTAGTGTGATTCAGGAAGGGGGCAGTATGCACACCCCCCCTTCCCAAAGAGGCTGTATGCTTGGATAAGAGTCTGATATGGAATATGAGGAAAAGGGGTGTGGAAATTTTTGAAAAAAACTACTTAAGTTAATTTTAGGGCACAAAAAAGAAGTGTATTACCCAATTTTTTGGTAAAATGTAGATGAGGTTGCACCGAGTAAATAAGTATCTAACATGTCAAATGTTAAATTTGCGTGCTCTTGTAAAATGGCGAGAAATTTTAGCACCCTATATTTTCTATAGGCAACACTTTGAAAGCCTTTAACTTAACTTTTTTTTGTTTCATTACATAGAGGACAAAAAGTCCCCTATGTGATAAGTTTTGGTGACAGGTTCTCTTTATTGAGACATCCAGTGTCTAAAAGACCCTCCTCCACAGATTGCACTGCATTACATTCTTTCCTGGCCTCGATGGCCAGGAAATCTGTAAATAGGGACCTGGAAGTAACATCACAACCTCACTTCCAGGTCAGGTGCCCTATACCCATCGGCACCTGCTGAACTGGGAGCAAGGGGAAGGCGGGGGGTGCAGCTGCAGGTCTAAAGGTTAAAAAAACTACCCGCTTGGTGACTGAAACTACATGTCCCTGGCGTCGGGGGATATAAATTCAACATCTCTGGAGGAGGGTGTAAAGTTTTTCCAATTTGTTTGTGTGGGGTTCCTCCTTAAAACTTATACCAGACTCAAAGGGGATTAATATTGAGAAGACCACAGGGGGGTCCCCGTTGATATCCATGCCAAACCCTAGAAATAATGGTTGCATTAATTTTCTTTTTTAGACTTTCCTGCCCCTATTTCACGTGGTGATCTGGCCAGTAAGTCTGTTGTTTTTCAAAAGAATATGCTCTATTGCAGATGTAGCAGTTAGAGGGATGAGATAAACCATTTACTACTACTACTACATAGGTGTTTACAATGATCAGTTTTTATTCATGATATAAAACATTTAACTAAAAAAAATGGTTACTGTAAGTGTGAGCAGGAGTTTGGCTTCAATTTGTTAGTGAATCTAAATCTGATAGTATATCTAACACTCCCCAACCCCAAGATTAACAATGCTACTGTCCCAATGTACCTCTGTGTCCCTTGTCTGTTACTGTTCAGATCACCAGGTAAAAACAGAAGGAAAAGGCCCCAAAAAAAGAAAACTAATGCAGCCACCACATCTATCTATGATCGGTAAGCTGCAATATATTAAATGTTTGGTTTTAAGTGTAATACCACTTTAAGGCCACCCCCCCAGGCATGCTATTTAAAGACATTTTACATTTTTAAAGATGCCATTTAAGCAACTGATCTGCCAAGCTTTAGTTTTTTTTTGCTTTGGTAGTGCTCAGTCCCCCATGCCATTTGTTTGACCATCCCTGTCCTACAAGCCAAAAAAAAACAGTCATTACTGGCCGAACTTTAGTAATGTTGAACCTGTCTCAAAATGAATTCAGGTATATGCAGCTCATCTCTACACATCAAGCACACTTTGATATGATTCAGATATCGTAGATTACGTCATGAATGTACCCTGAAGCAATAAAGCATACCAAACCATAACATTTCCTTCTCAATGCTTCACAGTTGGTATGAGGAACTTCTCCTGAAATACTGTTTTCATTTTGCATCAAACTTGTCTTCTGTTTTTGGGGCCCACAACTCTCTGATTTCTCAGTCCAAAGCACTTTGTTCCAGAAGGCTTTTAGATGCATAAACCTTAATAACAACTGTTGTGTTACATGTCGTCCTGCAATGATATTTTGGAGTTTTAGGAGATTTCAAGCTGTAAGCTCTTGGGCTGCATTTTTTGGGCCAACCAGGCAACAAGAAAATTCAAAGGGATGGATGGAAGCTTTTTTTTGACCTAATATATTTAACACTGTTTGTGGTTTTCTTTAGGGGAAAACCATTTATGTGATTTCATAGTTAGCACAAAATTAAAAAAAAGATAGCAAGTTGTATTTGGTACGATCATATCATTCTATACGTTATTACCTTCTTCTCCTTCTCAACATTTTCTTTAAATTGGAAACGGGTTCCACTTTTGCTTCCCAGTTCGAGCCATTTGCCCTTAAACCACTTTATTGTTGGCTTCGCAATCAGCTGGCTGGCATCAACACTCGCACTTAGAAGGATATCTTTTCCTATAAAAATAAATCATTCGCATTACCAATTCCTTTCTGTATTTTAGTGTGAAATATTATTTAGCTGGAGTTTTATAAGCTTAAAATTTTTATAAGCTGAACCAATGCATTTATAGTACATCATAGTTGTTTTATTTCATTATTTTTATTTTCTGCATTTATGGAATAGCAGCATATTACACATCATTATACAGAAAATTCATATTAGGCCTTTCCCTGAAAAGATGTTCTGTTACTCTGCTAATATGTGTGTATACAGTATATGCTAATGCTGGTGGAGGGGGTGTCACCCAAACATGAATGTTAATGATGAAGGCCAGGGGCGGACTGACAACTCATGGGGCCCCCAGGCAATAGGGGATCATGGGGCCCCTGTGTCCTTGCCCAAACTTAAAAAGCCTATGAAAAAGGTACCAGGGGCATCTCATGGGGCCCCCTACTGACCCCGGGCAGTGCCAGAGTTTCCAAATGGTCAGTCCACCCCTGATGAAGGCTATATTAGGGAAGTTAGGTGTGTAGGACAGTTAGCTCTGAGTTTCTTGAAACACGACACACAGTCTAGACAGTGACTATATGCTGTATTTGTATTTTACTTTGACTATGGCCCTATCCATTAAGCTCCTCCTCCTTAAATGCAATTTAGCCTAAATCCACCCCCATCTCCTACTCTGCCCCTAATCACAGAAATTAGATTTTTGTCTAACCTAGTAAAGTAATGATTGGGGTATAGATGCCACCAAATTCACAGTACCTCCATCCCAAACTGATTGACATAACCTGAGACCTTGTTGCAAAGGAACTTTTTATGGTACTACAATAGTATAGACCTAAATATAAAAGTAAGACTTGTAATATTTATTATACATCCTAATAAAATCATACAATAAAAAATACCAATGATCAAGTAATATTACATCAGTATTGAGGTACATATAACCAACTGCCTCCAACAATATCCTACCCCTCAAGCATCTATGTACATTTATATATATGGTCAACTATCAAAAATTGGCATAGTTGCCGTCCATGTGTATATTACAGTCAAAACCTATCAAGGCAGGATTTGTGCAGTCTCAATACAATAGCCACTCTTCATGAATTGATAGAGGCAGTGTTATAATGCATCCATACCACTTGTTTACATATCAATACAAGATTCAACCCAGCCAACCCAGTACCAATATACTGTACTTGGAAAAACCACAGGAGCATCCCAGGAGCCCAATACCATCTTTGTATTATAATATAATAGGCCTAAGCCCTTACGCCTCAAGCATCTACGTACATTTGTATCATCAGTCAAGCATCTTTACACATTTTGGTTAACGAGCAAATACAGGCATAGCTGCTTCCATGTGTATATTACAGTCAAGACCTATCATGACAGGATTTATGCAGTCTCTATGCAATGTCCACTTCTTCATGAATTGATGAAGGCTCTGTTATAATGTATCCTTACCACTTGTATACATATTAATATAAACTTCGACCCAAACAACCCAGCACCAATATACTTGGAAGAACCACAGGAGCAGGTTGCAAGTGCACTAATAAGGCTACAATCAGCTCAGGTATAATAGGCCATCTCTTAGGCCTGCAACTCTTCTTCAACACTTGGTAATATTCGAAAAATGTATTTTATCAGCAGACCCTAATAAAATAGTAAGGGCCCCTGTAGTTATAATAGAAAGGAATCAAATCTTGTCCTGAGCTGTTGTGCCCTTCTGACATGTGAGGCCAATTTGTGAACAACTCTGCTGGTTAGACAAACATGTAATTGACTGGTAGAGTGATATTTTTTATTGTACAATTTGTGTACAGGGTATATAATACATATTACAATATTTACCAGCATATTTGGGTCTATACTAGGGGTGGGCAACTGTGGCTAAAATCTCATATAAGCTGTACTGTATGAGGGCTGTACTGAAAGTAATGCAAGAGTGAGAATAAGTTTTTTATTAGCTTATATAGGTTCTTCAAATTTCCCATGTTGGTAGATTAACTCTTCCTCTATAGTATAGTGTTCTTTTTCATAGCAGGTAAAAAATGGAATCCAAGCAGAACCTGCCATCATTGATTTTTTGAAGAAGGAGGGGTACAGGCTGTTTGACATCTATAGAAGGCTACAGAATGTTTCTAAAGATGACATCAGTGACAAAAGCAATGTGCACATATGAATAAGAAGTTTAAAGAAGGAAAAACCATCACTGAAGACAAACCACACAGTGGGAAAACATCAACTGTAAACACTAATACAAATTGTCAGAGAGTGGAAATCAATGATGGCACATTCTTTCCACTTGGAATCCACTATTAACCTGCAATGAAAAGGCGGAGGAAGAAGGGGTACTTTGGAGGAAGACTTACTCTACCAAAATGTGAAATTTATATGACCTATATAAATTCATACCCACTTTTGCATTACTTTAGGAACAACCCTTGTATGTTAATGTAGTTTAAAAAGTTTTTAATCTTTTTGAATTTGCAGGTTTAATTAAAATAATACCTGGCAATTATCCCAAAAAGGCCTTTGTTCAAGAACTGCCTGCTATGGTGTGACATCTGAATTCTGATTGTGCACCAGCATTGTCACCCTATACCATGAGCTTCCAATGGGGGCAATAAATGGTCATGCTAAAACATAATGGACAAGCAAGGTCCACCTTTATCACAATCAAGAACCCCATCCTGGGCAAGGATGCGTAGCTGATTCTAGATTCATGAAGACAGGAAATGACTGAAAGAGCACAACTGAGATACAAGAAATCATGAAAATATTGGTAAAAACTGTGATTTATTTTGACAAAATGGCAAATGTCCTAAAGCACATTGCTTAGCAAACTAAAAATGACCTAGTTAGTTTTTAGATATACTATAACATCCAAGTAATTTAAATTCTTTACTCCATACATACCGGCTTCTATGTTTATATTTTCTGGTTTATGCAGAAACAGCCCAGTTAGTTCAGGAGCACGGTCGTCTGGGTTTGTGTCTAGAAATCAAATAGCAACAATGTTAGTTAAGTTCAGTGGAATGACTGATAGCAGGATGAAATATGCCATTTGTATAAAAGTCTTTTGTTTCTCTCATTGGAATAGGGCCATGCTTGTTTATTGGCATATAGCTTTTGGCAAGTGGCTTCTCCACATCTTTGTAAATTTATGCTAGTAGGATTTCTAATAATACTTTAAAAGCATGTTTGAAAGGGGACTAGGTGCACAGTTGAAATACTGTGAATATAAAATGTTTTTTATAATTCTGCTGTGAAGGGATAGATTCTCAGTGCCCTTGTCCTGTGTGTTAGAGGACAGGATCTATGCAGTGACAGATCAGGGGTGAATAGTAACTGTTCCTAGGCTCACCTTTCGTTTCTCATAGTACAGGATCTCAGATGTTCCTTATGTACAAGATTCAAAAGACATGTTGGTGTAGCTCTGAACCCACCAATAGATAAAAAATAATATGATGTATACTTATTAAAGGCAGCTCTTTGTCAACCAGGGTATCCCCAAGAGTTTCCAGAGCAGTAAAACAATATACTGTATAAAAGAATGAGAGTGCCACGGGTTTGTACTATGTCAAGTAAAAAAATGTATTTATTTTGGCAAGTCACAGGATATAGCCAACATGTTTCAGGGGGTCACAACTCCCCCTTCATCAGGACTTAAGCAATTGTAAATAATGAGGTGTATTGGACAGCAGTTGTATAAAACAAGGATTGAATGATTCCACGAATAACAGGAATCCTCAGTGTACATCACCTTCTATACTTGTAGTCTCTGCTCTCAGTGCATCTGAATTGATTTATCTGAATATTGAGAGAGCAGAATACATTGTAGACACAGGTATATAGAAAATCAAGGTAGGTGTGGATCTTTTGAACTAAGGTATTTATAAGAACTAATACACTGAATTCTAAATAAACAGAAGGAAAGAAAGTATAATGGAAAGCTGATGTATACTGCATGTATTATCTTGTAACATTTAAGGTGATAAATTCCTTGCAAAGTAAATATTCATTTTACTAAGGGAACAGCCTGGGTTTCATCAGAAAATCAATTCCAATGACTCAAATTATGAATTGTGTCCACTGAGAAGGGAAGTATGTAAGGAAATCACATTTCTGCCTGAAGAAAATTACAAATCCTTCAGCAAGAAAAACAGATTTAGGATGGGAAATATTTTTGGTCATATACATAACTGTATATCTATGTGGTGGGTTTTATGTACTTTAGTCCAAAGGATATATTAGTCAAATCTCAAGCTCTATCTAAAATATGAGGTGTTATTTGTCTATTGTGCCTAATATTAGAAATGTATATTATTATAAGCAGCATAAAGAGTCAGGGGCGGATTGACCATTTGGGCACTCGGGCACTGCCCGGGGGCCCGGGGTCAGTAGGGGGCCCCATGAGATGCCCCTAGTACCTTTTCATAGGCTTTTGTGGGTGTGGTATGAGTGTGAGTGAGGACACAGGGGCCTCATGATCCCCTATTGCCCGGGGGCCCCATGACTTGTCAGTCCGCCCACCCCTGTGAAGAGTTGACCCTGTAGGTAGCTACAAATCACCAGAGAAATAAAGCTGAGAGATTTGTAGCTGTCAGATAGCCTGTTATTGTGACATGGCGCTAAGATGAGCAGTAAATTGAGTCAGATAGCAGAGAGCATAGGCTGTTGTCTACGCTCTTGCAGAAAAAGGGATTTTTCCATTATTAGTGGAGATCCAACCAAAGTAATTTTTACAATTTTCGAGTGTTTGTGTGTGTGTGTGTGTGTGTGGGGGGGGTTAATTATTACTGTCAATATGCTGGAAACATTTGTTGTCACTTTCTAACCTGTTCACTGTTGTCACAGAATTTAAAAGGAAATTAACATTTTACAGTTGTTGCCAGGAAAGGAGTATACGGGAATTCCCCCAATAAAGACACCTGGTCCCATGACGGCTGTCAAAGGTGGGACTTCCTCTAAATTTGCAAAGATTTCTTTTTCTTGTTTCACTTAGTACTGCAGTTGAATATTCATTAATAGACATGATTCATGAGCACATTTAGTGCTCAAGAAAGCTTTACTGTGTATACTGCCTGATCAGTGCTTCATGTTACAAAATATAGTTTTTCATATAATTATATCAGCATACTTGTACTTCATTTTTTTACCAAGTTAAATGTATCACTGAGATACAATGCTTGATAGCATTCAAATGTATCAATAATTTGTTCCCATCCATAGATGACTAAAGTGCATGAACTGAATTGTCATATTGGTGAGCTTGGGAGCAAAGTTCAAATTCCCTTTCAGATTCATTATAACAGTGAGATGAATACTGATGTTTTGTCAATTAACAACTGATAGCAGTTCAAGACATAAAATTATTTGGACCAAAAAAAATTTCCACAAAAAAAACTTATATTCTTGATCCAACACACACTTCTCTTAACAAAACATTATAGCAGGTGGAAAACTTCTCCAGTAGTCACATTCAAAAAGACGAGTTCCGCAAGGATGTATGTCTTCTTAAGCTGATGTGATAAGAATTTTCCTGGCATATTTTCTTCTGCCTTGGAGTACCCCAGCAAATATTTCATTGACTTGGACTTTTTATCTGTTGATATTGATCTGGTGCTGGGAAACTTACCATCTGGTGGAAGTTCTTCATCAACGACTTCTGTAAATTAAAGAATGAAAATTGACATGATGAATTGATGACCAAATGAAATGGAATGGCTTGTATTTTAAACCCTGTTATTTCTACACAAGGTGAAGAATCAAGTTGTACAGCTGGAAATGACGTCATAAAACCGAGCAGCATGAAACCTTGGCCCTCAGATGTGTTGAACCCTTCAACTTTTCACTGTCCTCCATGGTGACAGCAGATACTACTCAGACCCGACTCCAAAATGGATCTTCAAAGTCATCACCCAAATCAAAAAGCTTTGGGGTCTTCTGGGACTTCACTGATGACATTCGAAACATTACATGCAGCCATGCACATATAGCACCAAACTACAGGCACATGTATTAAGACATTGACAAACCAACACATGAAAGGAAATACAACAAGTAATATAAAGTTATACTGTATATAAAGTTATATTACTCTATTGTTGTACAGCCAGCTATACACGTAATCTGTGTGAATTTTGTAGTTATATATTATAGGAGCTTATTTAATAAAAAAAAGAGCAATGTGTAGACTCAAATAATCTTAATTGTTTCTACTATAGATTGTTGGAAACTGACATCTAATTGGTACTTGTCACTTAAAGCATGATTGCTGTTCTTTGCACTGCTTTATTAAAATAAGCCTGTTGGTGTCATACTGTAATTAAGGCAATGAAGTATGACTTGTAGTATCTTGTTATTATTAGGTATTAATCATTATTAATTAATTGTGAGATACATTCTTGCTCTGGTGTGAGAAAGAGTAGGATGGAAAAGACGAAAGGCTAGTTCAACAGTGTTGAGTTCAAGACTAACATTTTAAACATTAAAAAAAAACACACAAAACATACAATGGACACACTAATAATGCATGCTCTGCTTTGAACTTCCTTGTGTATTATTAATGTGCCAAGGTCAAACTGTTTTAATAGACGGCATTTATGAAAGGGTGCACAGGGGAAATAAAAGTGGCCAAAGACCGTCTGAGCTCGATGGCCAGTTTGGGCCAACAAATCATTACCAGTTTTTCTCATAAATGCTTGTGAATATATCTGTTAAACCCAGACACTCAACTTCACTATGACTTTCCAGAACAGAAACATAGTTGAAGCAGTTTTTTAATAGTAGAAGCAGGCATTACACCACCAATTACATTTAACTTGCCTGATTCTGGATTATCAACAGTCATGGGATTTGCATTAATCCTATAAGATGGCTGATCAGCTCAGGCCCAATTTACTGGTTTTGGCCAAAGTATAATAAGTATAATAATATTCAAAGCTCTGTTTCATTTAAGTAACAAAAAGAGAAAATTGTTAACAAGAATCTGGCGGATACTGAATACAGTTCCTATGCACCAAGTTCCATAAATATTTTATCATGTCATCAGAGAATAGAAGTTTTTCTGTAAACTGTTACTTCCACTCCTAATAAAAACAAGTTTTTTTTATTTTAATAAATGTGTTTCTGTTTTTACTGAATTAATTTCTGTAACCCTATCTTTTTTACCATCAAATCATAAAATAGAAGTGCAGGCCTCAGATGCAGTTAAGTCAGAGTTTTCACTGTCTGCGAAGGATCATATCTAAATACTTCAAGGTTTTGTTGTTCTTTGAAGTGTCCATGGATGCATTGGTTTCATCCTCAGCTTTGTGCATTCAACCAGGCTGGGCAATATTCTGTATAGCTGAGCTCAATCAATAATAATGCCCTGGGTAAGTGGGTGGGAGAGTAAGGACTTTCATCTATCTGCATCTGATGACTGTACTTTGTACAATTTTATAAGGTGGATGGAGGATCTGGGAGGTATTGGAAGGCACAGTCTACATTTATCATATATTGTAGTTTGAACGATCTGTCCATTTTACCATAGATGCAATATAAAATGTAACATACCTTTCATAATATCAAAACGTTTGTACAACTTTCTATAAATCTTAAAACTATATCTTTACTAAATACTGTTTGAGTAACCACTGGGTTTTGCTCCCAAGGTATTCTCTGGAACAGGCTACCCCAGTCCATCAAAATACACAGCTCCAATAAAGGGGTAACTACTCAATTAAAAATATTCCTGGAAAAACAAATCAGCAAACTTATAGAATGTCCTGCCGCTATAACCCAAGTCTAACTGAAACCCCATCTTTGGCATTGGCGTTTCATGATCGACAGTTAGCATTTCTACTTAGAAGTAAGCTAGACAGTTTACTGAAATATTTTAAAGCCTGGAATGTTTCTTTGGTGGCATGCTCTTACTAGATTGCCAGCATGCAGTCTTTCTGTATAATTTTACCTTGCTTAGAGGTTCTACTGAGTAGAGTTTGCTTTTTC